TAGTAGTAGTAGTAGTAGTAGTAGTAGTAGTAGTAGTAGTAGTAGTATGAGGAGATGTAGGAGATGTAGGATGTAGTATGTAGTAGTTGTTGCTGCTGTTCCTGTTGTCTTCCCAAGGAACTCGAGTTGGAGAGGATGCAAAAGTTGTGAAAGACAAGTTGAGTGCGTACACCGTTGAGGTCCCTTACTTTTGCAAGGATGTTGATGTCCGTGCGCAAACACCAACTCGTGAATCAAAAGGACCAGACTCGGATGTCGGTGGATCTGTCAGACTTGGGCAAAACATCGTGACAAGGTTTCTCCGAGGAAGATGCATGTACCACGAGCTAGAACACTGTCACATGGTTTCTTGGGGATTCCACCATGTTCCACCCCCATGCGTAGAGGAAAGTCGTCGTGCCAAAGGCCATGCCATCCACTTCCATGTGAGAATTGGATAGAATTGGAGTGTAATTAATTAGAAGAGGTGGCCTCCACAAAGATTAACGACGACAACGACAAGCGACGACAAGGACAACAACAGCAACTCCAACTTACTGGCCAGCCACTTTCTCCTCGCCCTTGACCTTCACGCTAATCCTTGGTTTTGTAAAGTCTTTCTGTTCTGGTGCCTCTGCATCGAAGACACGCCCCCTTCGCAACACAAAGGTGAATGAAGTCTGGGTGAATGGTTTCTCTGGTTTCCTCAAAATGACGAGGAAAGGTACCCGAGGGAGGCTCTATGAACACAAAAGAGAAGACCAGCTGTTTGGAGGAATCGGCGTAATCCATCCAGCGATATCCAAAAATCTTTCAATTCCTGCCTTGTTGGTCCGGGTTTTCGGAACTCTAAGCTATCCTTTTCTCGGGAATTGGCAGAGCCAGGACATCCAACGATGTGTGCTCTGTATTGAAACAGGGAGGCCGGGAGGCCCCCCATCCCTGAGAAGAGCAAGACTGGACCAAGACCCATTGCTTCGGCACCATCTATCGAAAGGGAACTACCTCTACCAGGACCACTACCAGGACCCATGGTCGAGGTGGATAATGGACAATCCCTTAAGGCAGGCATTATATTGATAGACACCCCACCACCTCGACCTTTGTTTTCCCTGGACTGTTCATAGAACTCATCATCGACATCGATTCGTTACTCTCCCAAGGCTCATGGGCTTGCTGCCCTTGTCGACGATGGCATAAGGCAGGAGCCTCGTCTCGGTTCGTCTTCGTGCCAGGTCCGGGTCTCACTAGATCTGGATAGAAAGGTATAGAGAGACTCCAAGTCGGCAAATAGACCAACACGCTCCCACCAACTCATCAAATTGTGCTGGACTATTCGATGATCGACGTGGACACTGTTTGATCCAAGAACCACTTGGCGAGTTATTTTGCCGACCCCTCGCAGACCTCCCCAACAGATCCAGATCCATCCATTTGTTTGTTATACTTGTTTCTCCTTCTTCCACGGATAAACGGGGAAACACAAAAAGGGGCCTTTCTAGAGTCCTTTCTAGTTCAAGGCACTTGATGTCCTTCTGCACCGTGGAATCCTTGAAGCGCCGCCCGATCAAGCGCTTCACCTCACAAAATCCGACGATTGAGGCGACTCGTCGGCTTCGGTGGAGGGCGAGTTCGTTGATACACCCAAGGATGATGTTCTTTTGTACTCAAACCTAGCACTTCCAAGAGGTGTCCAATTGAGATCCCGGATAGAAGTGTAATTAGGGGGCTTCCAGCCAGCTAACCCCTTTGAAGGTGCTGGAATCAACACCATTAATTTGGTTTTTCTGTGAACGGAATGCTGGAGAGCTTTTGCATGGGCTTCCGGCTACCAAAAGGTCACACAAATAGAATAGACTTAAATAAACCGTTCCCAATATAGAGACCACCAAATAGTTAGTGAGGTAGTGTCAGACCGTTCACCCGAGGAAGTCTCCCCCCACCGTTGATCTCCCCTGACGAACCCTGGCCAAACGAACGACGAACGACGTCCGAACGAGTCATTCACAACGAGAGGCATCGAACAAGGTCTGAGTGGGGTTGATGGTCGCCTGGCTGCGGTCGAGGCGGCAACAAGCTGGGAACGTAGGACATGTGTGGCCTTCCCCATGCTTCGAGTGTTCGAACTTCTACCGCAAACCTGTATTGTTTGCGTTGACGGCTGTTTTTGCCAACCTGGGAGGGCTCTGCTTCACAGTTCTACACCGCTTTCACTTCCCTCCATGCCGTTCCACCCATCCGCGCCGCTTGCTCCGCGGAGCCGGCGCCTGGTTCTTGGCGGCCTCGCCGATGAGGCGCTCGTCATCGGTGAAGGCCACGTAGGAGGGAGTGATGCGATTGCCCTCCGCACGTGGTCGCATGTCGCTGTTCGGAGCCCTCTCCAGCCCACCCGGAGTTGGTTTCAGCCAGGGAGTGCCCTGGTTTGCCGGCGCCGCTGAGCAACTCGGGGTGGGAGCCCTATATAATGGATCATAGGGCTGGGAGCCCTAAACTCTCTTGGTATGTAGGCAGCAAGCAAATGAGTTTTGGGATGTTTTGGGTTGGTCCATGGTAATTCAGGGCCAGCTTTGGGTTTTGGTGCAATTCACCAAAGATTGGAAGTTGGATGTCTCTTTTCGCCATTCTGAAGACTCGCAGTTCTTATTATGAATGATCAAGTTCTTGCAGTGAAGAAGTCTGTGCTCCATCAGCGCCCGACTCGTCCGTCCGCGTTGCCAGACGCGCCAGGCTGACCTGCCTGGTCATTGGGGATGATCTCCACCTCAGGGTTTCCCCGCCGTTTGGAACCCAAAACCGATTTCGGCCGCGGAAAACTGCGTGGAAAACCACCTCACCATGCTACCGCGGTTTGCAGCGGATCTGGTCCAACGGCATGCCGTGACGTCCACGAAAGCATGAAGTCCATGGCGAAACATGGCTCAACGTGGGCGCATGTGGCGGTTCTGCACTGGAAATCAGCTCCCAAAACGTTCGACCAAGTGACTCGGCCGTTCTTGTAAATGCCCACGCAGCCTCAATGAGGTCTCGTTGTTGCAACGGATCTGCATGGGTTGAGGAGGGGTCGTCACGCTGGGCTACACCACTTGCGGGGATGTTATCTGGTGCTTGCACCTTTGAAAGCTGGTCCAGCTATAGATGGAACATTGATGAAGTTGAGACCAGGAAACCTAAGAAAGCCACTCCCTAGGGCTCCTGTCCAATCTCCTGAGAAGGTGGTTAGACCCCCCAAATAACCCACCCCAACCACCTTCGAAACGGAGGTGGGACAGGAGCCCTAAAAATAAGAAGCCAGGAACAGGAACTGAACCAAAAACGTCCAAGGTCCACAATTGCTCCGCATGCCATGTGGCGGATCCCCCAAACAACGGATTCTTAGGGGGGCTGCAGCAGTCGGCATAACTTCAGCCAAAAAAGAGACCTGACTTTGGGAAAATTAGAGAAGACTGGTCTGATGGTTTTTCTTTTTTAACTATAGATCTGCTGACTCGGTGACTTTGGGAGTTTTCACATGGACTCACATGTTAGTGTTATTTTTCCAAGCATAGGAATACAACGCGCCACTCAATCCCTTGGAGCAAGGAAAATGAACCGAAAACCGTCCGCGGACGGACCGCGGATGTGATGCTCCGCAAAGCGCCCCGAAAACCACAGATGCAGTGCCCATTCGCGACAGGTAGCTGTAGGTGGTGCCTAGCGGATGGCATGCGATGGCCCAATTGGCGGAGACATCTTAATATCTTATCTATCTTCAGGTTTAAATATGTTGCATGCATTTGAGATATTTCTGGATCTATGTGTATGAAATGACAAGAAGACCCAATCAGAGTAGAAAACGCGTTCCATCTTCATTCATGCCTCGCAAGAACGACCTCGCCAAACTCCCAGTGCTGTTTTTGTCGAGCCTAAGTCAATGCCAATCACTGGACCGTCGATCTTCTTCTCCTCATCCTTTGCCACCACCGTCGCCAGGAAACTGAGCACGAGCACTCTCCTGAAGAGGACATGGAACAGTGCGTCGTTTTTTTGACCAGCTGGAAGTGCCATGGAGTCAGGGTCTGTGAATCTCTGTTTAAACACTCCAACTGTTTGTTGACCTTGGGATCATGGAATATCCATGGAATATCCATGAATATCCTGTCCACATGAAGTGTTGGCCCGGAGATCTTCTCCTGGTAAGAGTTTGATAGGGTTTGTAACCCTAGCTCACTGTGCTTTTGGGATGCTGGCTGGGCGGTTCACGGCTACAGGTCACAACTGGTGGACCAGCACTTCAGACCTCGAAACCCCTTTGGTCCAATTGCCAATGAACGAATGGGCCATACGATCCGTGGCACCGGCTTCGGGGGATACGTGAATGTTGTGCAAAAACATGGGCAGACCGTGGCGCCTCAACCCGTTTTCGGCCCCAAAAGCAACGAAACACAGAAAACAACTCCTGAAGATCAGTCCGTCGAGCTGGACGGACTCATTGTCCGATGCACTGTAAGCGAGGCCAAGGTAATCCAAGGTACAAAAGTATTACAGTGGTTTCAGAGTAGATGGCACAAGTAATCCCAAGTTTGGTGATTGAAAAACGGGCCCCCCATCTACAGGACATCTTGGGGTGTGTGCGAATCCACTCTGAAACCACTGTAATTAGGTTCAAAAGAAACCCCTAGAACACCCAGTCGATGCTGCGGGGAAAACAAACAGCTCCTTAATCTGGACTCTACAATCCAAAACCTCCCACTTCAGTGAAGAACACCCTTGGCTCAGGCATGGGAAAACATGCGTCAACAAGAATCAAACTTCTTCCATGATGGGCCTTGCTTGCCTCTCTCCAAGCATTTGTGCACCCTGTCACAGGTTCATAGCTTCACACCTGCTGCCGAGTTTCCACATGGCCATCGTTGCAAAACTGGCGGTTTCAAAAGCCCTTGAACTACACTGTAACATCCGTCACGGCAGCGGAGAGCGGCAAAGAGCGGTCAGTCACTCCACCCCATCCTGGATCTCATACCACCGCAGCTCAGCTGATGATAGCGAATATTCGGAATACGACTCGCCACATATGCACCGGGCATAAAAAAGAAAACCTCAACGGTCCCATCCCCTGTGTTGAGAGAGATCTGTTTCTGGCCAGTTGCCAAGCCCCCCCGAAGAATATATGTCTTCTGATGTGAGGAACCTTCACTATCAAAGCAACATGTGAAGTTTGAATGTCCTTTGCCCACATGGACATCTTCTTCCGTCAACCACACTCTAGTGGACGAGTGGAGAGCCGGTGGAACCCCGTTCCTGGCTGGTCCAAAAATCGTTGACCTCAGGGGGTTCCAAACCTTCACACGAAAGAAGACGGTAGACATTGCTGTCCTCGCAAAACATGATCATGACTCTTGCCTGTTCTTCAACGGCCCGTTGAACAACCCACCACCAACGGCACAAAAAAATGTCCGGGGTTCTTATGTCTTCAACGGCCCACTGAAGCACTTAAAAGCAGGCAGGTTCTCATCATGGACATTCTGAGAATTGTGTGCTCCTGCTCCATGCTGCTGCCTTTGCGCAACCATCTTTCTCCGCAGGGTCGAACGAAGGGGTTGTCACTGCTTTCGCGACCACCGACGCAGCACGTCGTCAGCGTCAGCAGGACTCGGGGGTCTGGCTCGCCACACGGGCGACACGCAGGACACGTGGTGGAAATCGTTGAAATTCGAACGCACACAGGGTCTGGAAGAATTCGTGCACATAAGTCGTTGGGTCTATCATGGTCTATCCGTTCGTCTACCTGGGCCCAGTGGATGATATCTGAGGTTGCAGGCCGAACGTTCAAAAATTGTGATTTGCTTGTTTACTGACAGTTACAGGTATATAATAGGATTTAATAGGACAGACCCAACACGTAAGGTCCTCCCTCACAGAGTTTTGATAAGAACGCCTGCATTTTCCACACATTGCATAAGTTCAGAACGGAGCCTGGACATAATTACAGTTGAAACATTTAACTTACAAGACTGAGAGTAAAAAAGCGGCGATGTCAAAAGAGAACAAACAACTCTTCTATACAATGCAAACATCAGTTTCCCATGGTCTTGCACGTCTGCGTCATTGCGAAACCAAATACAGTATGCGTCAGCTGTTGGGTTTCTAACAAAAAATAATGAGGGCCCCTAAGACAGAGGAACCCGAAACCCCGGGTAAAAAAACATGAAAACGAACCCCGCTGAGTCGAATGTGTGTTGGTGGATGTTTGTGAATGTGCATCCTAAAACCTGGATCGAATTTCAATTTGCTTGGTTTCAATGCCGCCACGCACTTGCATCTCATTGTCGTGCTTTCCTGCCAGAGGAACCGCGAACGGTGAAACAGGCTGCAACCACTACAACAGTTTATCTATCTACTTGGTGTACTTTGAAACCAACATCTATTTAAAAAAAAGGGTCCGTGTCGAATTTCCTCCAAACATTATCTAACTCCCCGACTGCAAGGGCAACCTACAGCTCAACATGGTTGCCTTCCCGGTTTGTTGTGTTTTTGTTGAACTCGACACGTTCAATCACAACGGACCCCTTCGGAAAAAAGAAATATGGCATTACATGGCCAAACAGAACTGGATCCAATGAGGAACGAAAGGTGAATCTGTCAAATGAAGTTTGAAAAAACTTGAAGTATGGCCTCAAAGTGACCTCTTTGGAGTCTGTAAGTGTCCTTGTACAGGCCTAAGTGATCTTATCCTGGGATCTCAAAAGGTCACGTTGAAGGTCCTGGTGCAAGACCAATGTGTGAACTTTACTATCACCACTCTGTTGCCAGGCATTGCAAGGGGTCCCGGCCACAACCAGAGTTCGTGGATCCATCTGTTTTTGTGCAATGTGCGAGCACAGGCCGTACAAAAACAATAGAATACACTGGAGCAACAATTTAATGGCACTGGAACACACATTATGAAAAGACCTTGAAACAATATATATATATATATATGTAGGACCTCAACAAATCCCTGACCATGTAATGACACTACTGCTGCACAACGGATACAAAAATACACTTGCCAATGGCATAGTGCAGTTGGTCTCGACACAATAAAGCACAAGTTCAAGCCCCAACGGACGGACGGACGGACGGACGGACGGACGGACGGACGGAGGGACGGACGGACTGACGGACGGGCGGACGGACCGACAGACAGACAGACAGACAGACACACAGACACACAGACACAGAGAGAGAGAGAGAGAGACTGATTGACTGATTGGTTGGTTGGTTGATTGATTGGTTGATTGATGCAATAATATGCAATAAGAAAGGGGGTCCCAGTTTTTGTACTGTAGGGCATCCAGTAGTAGTAGTAGTAGTAGTAGTAGTAGTAGTAGTAGTAGCAGCGTCATTCTAAACCTCAGCACCTGCACACATATATATATACAAACATGCTTTCCGGACTGGAACTTTGGAAACTTGCATTCTAAGCCTGGGGGCATTTCTCACGTAACATTGTAACAATGGAAAGTAACAAAAGTATACAAAAGTTAAAATTCCTCACGATAGCATTCTAAGTTCCAGTCCGGAGCTATATATGAGAACAGTTATGGGGTTACTGCAACTCACTCCAAACTCCGGAGAAAGGTGTGAAATTCGCGAAGTGGCCATTGTTCTTCTTTGCACCCGCCCAATTTTTCCCGTCGGCCTCACCACACGAGGCCCAGCAACTTCTGCCATATCTCGTCCGCCGCGGCCAAGAGCCGCATGGTGCCCCGCTTGGCGCGCTGCAGGAGGCCGCGCTGCCGCTGAATTTCTTCGGCCTGGATGGCTTTGTGGGGATGTCCACACATGTGTACTCAGCATGATATGGCATACATTCACCCCGGGTCAACACCCCTGGCCGTTTCTCGGCAGTCCTATGGCAGTCCCATCATGGAGTGTTTGGGAATGATAAGCCTCAACGCTGTGAGGTCCCCGGAGTCGCGGCCGGTCTGACAGAGGTCCCACCTCGCGCTCGGCATGTTGCTGTAACAGGTGTCTTTGCACCATCCTCAGCTACACAAGTGTTCAATCTGGCTGGGTCAGTTGATCGGCAAAAGCTGAAGGCACTGAATGCACCAAATGCACTGCTTCCTTGACAAAGAAATTGTCAAGGAATCAACCAATTCCACCAGCCCGAGCCGAGTTCTACAAAGTGAAGCTATGCTAGCATCTACGTTCTTCGAGTGATCCCCACCCTGAAAGGCGCTTTGAACATCTAACAACCCTCCCCTGACAGGTGGGGAAAAAAGGTACTTAGTTCGTGAAACCCTCTTTTGACCTACAAAAAGCGGATGCATGGACAACGAGCCAATGAAACCAAATAGAACTTGGGGTCCCATACACCCGGGTTCCAAGACCCAGACTGGAAGGATCTGGAAGGCGGTTTGACTCTACCAGGTTCCACAGTATGGGCTTTGAGAAAAACCGCTACTTCAGGGCTTCGAGAGATCGAGACCCGGTTCTCACAACTCGCGAACTCTTCGAAGAACAACGACACTGTGCGTGGTCCCGGTACGACCTTCGGGCGTTGTCGTACTCCGTCGGCTCCAGGGTCCAACACAGAGTCGATTCTCTGAGTCGATCTCCATGGGTTCCCCGACACAAGAGATGACACACAATGGGTTGAAGCCTTTGATAGATGTTCACATCGGAAGCCCAGGCGCACTGAAAGAGAGATGGTCAAGCATTTTGTGTTGTCATGTGACCCAGCCAAAGAACAACAGGTGCTACTTGAAACAATTTCTGTTCATTTCCCGTCCAATGCTGCCAACGTGGGTCGGCTGCATGACTCGCCTCAAAAAGAGGGTTCTTGACGCCATGACCCACAGGACATGACCCAAGATCCGTGGACGAATCTTTTGTTCACCCTGTTGTTGGTTTTTTAAAGCCTAGATCAACCTCAAACTGCCATCTGCCCATAAGTGAAAAGCATGGTCCAAAAATAGAAGAGAAGTGGGAAATAGATGCTCTCAGTTCAACCCCCAAACCTGAAGCCACGCGGTCTCCAAGCGTCTGTAACCGTTGCTGCAGCTCTTCCCGCGAGCGCCGCGCGACGTCGCGCGATGTCGCGGGGACCATCGCGCCGCCCTTCAAATCACCTGCCAAACGTCTCGAGACGTTCGGAGCGAAGGCATCGAAGCGCACCGACTCGCCGAACCACGTCGTCCGACGCACCGTCCGATCCGCGACGGAGTCTGTCTCTCTCCGTTTGGGAGAACTGCCGTGTGTGGCGGAGGAGCCGGGTGCGATACTTTTTTTGGGCCAAACAAACAGGGTTTTTCCAACGGTCGGACATGGACGAGGCGAGGGAAATTGCGACAGTCAAACATGGCCAGTGGCCAGCAATGACCTGGATTTCATAAAATAAGAGTACTAAATGATGTTTCTTTCTATTATTGAGCTTCAAAACCAATACTTGGGCGAGTGAAAGTCGTCCAATATTGAAAGTCCTCATTTGCGTATTGGATGGATTTGCTCATACATGCAAATTCAGAATCAACATGATATCTCAAACCTACGCACCTGTATAGGCTCGGTCCACTTGCTTGGGGTTCCGGTGCTAAGCGGAGGTACTGTGCTAAGCCTCGTTCTTCACCGGTGATGTGCTCACCAATGAAAGAGTGACATTTATAGGGACCCCAGATGCACATTGATGAAACCTCCAGTGCTCCATTTCACGTGATTGGAAAGAACCTGGACTCGCTTGGTCAGACCAGGCCTGGACTGAATTAGACAAGTCTAGAAGTTCTGAAGTACTCAATGGAACGAATAGGAGTGAAATGGATTGATGGGCAATTACTCAGATAAAATCTGTTGTGTTACCCATGGTTGCTCTGTGAAGTGATCCAGGCTCCATGATGAACATGGCCATGCACATTCGAGCCTGCATCTATCTCGATGTCCTCCAACACTTCGATGCTATCCAACGCTTCGATGTTCTTCCTCAGTGAGGTCAAAACAGCCAACTTGAACGTGCGGATGACAGGAGAACCACAAGGTTCCAAGAAGCTGTGGTGACTTGTATTGTCATTTACATTACTTTCAGGTCAAATCCCTTTCTGCAAATCAAAGTTCAAGATCAGCTCGGGACTTCAAGGGCCACCCTGCCCTCTGTGGAAGTCCATCCCACTGCTCACTCAAAAGCCGGCGGCAGCTTTCCCTGTCAGGGCCCAAGCTGCTCGAAATTCTTCAAGGCTTCCCATTCGCTGATCAAGCTCGAATCCGCCTGCAACACCGTCTGCCGCAAGCGATTCTCCACCTGCGGCGAGAAAACCGCCGCATGAGGCGTACGCGCCCGCGCGCGGAGTCCCACCCAATCCCCTCACCTTCTCACTAGCTCGCCTGTCGCAAGCCGGTGGTCTTCATCTCATCCGGCATCCCCAAACGCAAGGCACGGTAGACATCTGAGAGGTAGCGAAGGAGGGTGCCCTCCTGAGAAGTAGATGCATGTTGCGCCAACAATTGTGGACATTGTCAACGCTGGTGAACACAATCATGCAAACATCAACTAGCCGGTGGGTTCGTGCTCTCTGCTCTGACATCCAATAGTCACAGGCAATGCTTCCAGAATTGTTAGCCTTACGAGCGCATCACTCTTTTTATTTGACTTGTGTTTTGACACATCTTGAGTAAGCCCTGTTTCATCCTGTTTCTGATTTGGAAACAGAAATGCACCAAATCCCTACCATCCTCAAGTGTTTCCAGACCCTTTGTCGAACGCAACGTCAATATTATCTGATTCTCGTGGTCGATGAAAGAGGGGCCGGTGCTGGAAAGCCTTCGATACGAATCCAAGCCCAACCCGCACCTGGTTGTTTGATTTACAGGAGGCCATCGCTAGTAGGTACCCACGCGAGCTGTGCGCGAGCTGTGCACTAGCTGCGACTACCCTCTGCTAGTTGGTGCAAGTAGTAGCGATGACTTGTTCCCCACTGTGAACACTTTCCACACTGTCTTCCCTGGAAGGGGTAACTTGACACCAACAACAAGTGGTGGCGACTGGTCACTCACCTCAACGCAAGAGAGCCTGCTTTGCCAGATTGAAGCAAGAACCGTTACATTTGACTGTTTGACTTATCTCTGGAAAAAAAACACCAAGTAAATCGTGCTACGGTTCTTTCGTGGGCTGGAAGCTTCTTTCTTTGGTCGGCTAGGCTAAAAGAACAACAGCTAACTTCAGCTGTCACAGCCTATATACCATCCTGTCCGGGCACGGTCGGCCCAACATCCTGTCGGCCAAAGTCACTGGAAGATTTGGCAAACGATCCTGAAGTTCCTTGTAGCTCTCGCAGGAGAGCCTGAGGCTCGTGCAGGTTCGTTCTCGGCTGGCTGAAAGGTCCGGTCCGGTGGGTGAACCCGACTGTGAAGAAGGCAGGGTTAACAAAGAACACATTGTTCAAGAACAACATGTGTAGGCTTAGAAGAGCTCTTCAGCTTATCTTGTTCTTGACTGTGACCTGGAGGGTTCTCGGATGCTATCCTTCCAGCGTCATTTGGCATGTGAAAGGATGTGACCTGGAAGATTCTAGCTTGCGAATTTGGTCGGTTGCGCTGGCACATTCGCAACCCGCTCTGTTGTGCTTGTACCCATAAACAGAATCCTGCATCCCCAAATGACCACGGCTACCATCACTGACTTCGCTTGAAAATTCACATTGCTTGCCATGTCACTTGGTCTCGGCACCACAAAAGGTCGCCACAAAACTGGAAATCTACCAGCTGGTATATAAACATCTTAAATAATCATGCGCTGACGTTGATGAAAACCGTCCTTGTCCACGTTGCAACCCCTTGCCAACCTCAAACGACAAGAGCTATGGTTGCTCAGTGATCCTTAGGCTATAGACCAATACATGTTGGGTCTATCCTAGTACCTGTAACAGAAGACGATGATGGTTAGGTTGCAGGCCTTGTTCAAAAATAGTGATTTGCTTGTTTACCATCGATGATGTCACAATTTTGTTGGTCCTGTCAGTCCTCGAACACTCTGAAGAAGTCTTTCTAGCGTCTTTCTCGTTAAACAGCAAGGTGGATCTAAAGAGTCGGACAAAACCATGATCAAGATGTTTCACAAGATTTCACAAGGAGCTTTGGAGAAAGACCACTCCTTGTATGGTATTGGCATTCTCCAAAAATCTTCTTGTCTGACAATACCATACAATACCATGATGTGTCACAAGGAGCTTTGAAGAATGCCCCCACTCACCGACCATGGATACCATCAGGTGACCAGTTTTGAATCGCAACCCAACGAATGACATGTCTGTACCGGTACCTTCAACGATTTGACATACAAGAGAGTGATCCACCAGTGACACCGGGTCTTCACCAAGCAAGCCAACCGGTCTTCGTTTCTCACCTCGGACCCTTGGACCCCATGGACCCCATCGGGTGCTTCCAAGTGGCAACTCCAAGGCGATGCCTTTCGGCCGCAAGAACTGCGGGGAGATCCAGGGCCTCCGCCGCCGGAAGTCGTTGAAGACCTGCGGCCGCGCGATCGCGGCGACAGCTGGAGAGCAACCCGGGGGCCGGGGTTGGAGGGTGAAACCATCCATGTCGGGCCTTCTAAAGAACGTGTCTATAGGAACGTTGAGGTATACCTCAATATCAGCTGTGGCATGAAGAAGTGGGTACTGCATCCATCAGAAACGGTGTATGTTTGAGTGGATGGAGTATGCAGTTGCATAAGTACATGATATTACATGTGTTGCAGGTGCTGCAAACAAAAGCAGTAAAGTCAGATCCATGGCATCATGGGAATGCATTGGGAATCATGTCTACCTGTAGGGAATATCACACTGATTCTAGGGTCTTTACGCTGTCCTTTCATCCACTAACTCCTTCACCTGTGATCAAGACTGGACCCCTCAGCCAGTGCCTCAAATAAGAGCTCTTCGATATCACGTGGGCAGCGTCCAGGTGCCTCCTCTCCTGTGGAGGGCATTGTTCTTTTCGCACCGTTTCCGCGCAAATCCATGCGTTTTCGCAGTATGGAATCAAGTAGGGATCGAGCAAATGGATGATACTCATGATAACGGATGTGTCTGTTGTGCCTTCGGTCAAAGGGCTTTTCTGTCTCTTGGGGTTGATTTGCTCAACTCCAGCATGACGGTGCGATTCCTCCTGCTGTTGAAATTGTTCCCAGCAAACCAAATCTTCATCTCCAAGAAAGACTATGGCCCAATTGGCTTTTTCTGGGACACCACGAGCGAGCGTCTAGGCTTGTGGTCTTCTCCTCGGCTGGCTTGCGGCAAAGCACCTCGAACGGCTCGGCTCAAGCAACAGCTGAAAGCAAACACACCCTGTCGAGAACCGAATGGAGTGGTTTCTGTGGCCGGGTCTGAACATGTGTTCGGTGTTCAGAGCAGTGTAGCCTCGCTGCTGCCGGAAGGGACAAGCAATCATCTGTCCACCGTGTGCAAAGACTTTGAGCTCCATTGAACAGCTTGGTGAGGTGTGCAAACCATGTGTTTTTTCCCTCTTTGGATTTCAAATCTCTGAACGGTCTGAACGTTTGAGCATAAAACTACATGCTGATGCGTGCAACATGTCTGAAAAACAAGATCCCAGGAATGGGTGCCAAATATAAGGAAAGATTGAGAGATATTAACGATGATTAACATTAACGTGTATGATTGAGGGAGTCCCTAAACCTAAAACACACCTAAACCCTTGCCTTTTTCGTTTGGCCAACGACGACGCTATAGACGTCTACGTCCCGTTCGCTTGGGGAGTTCTGAGTTCTGACTCCGCGGTCTGGTCTGACCTTTCCCAAAACACTGAAACGTCCTATTGCACCACCGAGAAGTCACAGGATGTCACAGGGACCCCTCAGACCTTGGGGAGAGTCATAGGGCCAAGGGCTGAAATAGATCACGACTGGGGTACCTGAAACACTGGGATAGTCCATCATATTAGTTGATCTAAAAAGGTTCTTCAAGCTGAGGAGGGGTGAACTTGGTACAAAAACACTTTCGTTGATCTGGGATGAGAACACTCCACTCAGTGAGAACTGCAGGAAGTTCTCACTGCCAATCCTCCTGATGTCTGGAGAGTTTCAGTTCGACATGCTCAGGAAGCCCAGGCGCGCAGAAAGGTCTCGGACGCATCACAAATGGCCTCTGCTGCTGCCAGGACCACCAGCGGGAGATCCTCCTGCGAGGGCAGCTGTATGGTATTGGCTCCAACTAGCTAAAGACATTCAAAGAACCATGGTCCTGGTTCTTCAGTACGTGACCGTCCCTTGATCACCTGGTTGGATGGTTTGGTCACGAAGCAAGCCTCCTTGGCTGAACCGGGTCACGAAAAGGAACCTTCAAAAGGTCACTTTGACTGAAGAAGCTGGGTGTTTAAGTGAACTTGAAGGATTCTCAGATGATATCTGGATAAGACTCCGCAGAAGCACTCACCGAATCATCACCGAACCCTCACCGAACAGTCCGCTGCTATTGGTGGAATCAGTCGACTGATTCCTTGGCAAGTCGCTGCACCCGTCTCTCCAAGTCGCTGCACTTAGATAAGCCCCATCTCCCATCTCCCGAGATCCTACCTCTGAGAGCTTGGCAGAGAGAGAGGGCACCACCTCGGAGATGAAGAGGGTGCCATCGTCCAAAGGAATCGTGGCCTCATGGAACCGAAGGAGCCGCAGCCCCCGCAGCTGAGGGCCTATGAACTACCCCTAGGGATCCAGTCGTACCTTCTTGGAAGGCACCTAGACCCTCCTGGCACCCACCCCAAACACCTTCTGAGAAGGTACATGGATCCCTAGGGTACTATGTTTGGACTCATGCTAGGTGGTGGTAAAGCCTTAAATGAGGATACCGTACAAAGGGAAACACCCGGCACATACCTGCGTCATCCTGTTTGGGTGTCCAATAGACTACCCAGCCCACTGCTAGACTGGACCTCCTGGCACCCAGACATGATGATCCTGGTACCGTCCGAGACTCGAGGTTCGGCCCTCAAACCCCCTCCAGCTGCTCAGCTAGTCAGCAGCCGTGTACCTTAATCCCAGTGCGTTCGTTCAGTGAAAGGAGTACTATGAAGATGTATGAAGCAGTTCCCCCACAAAACTCGGCCCTACAAAAAAGAAACCAGCTAGGCTCCAACGTTTAATGTATGTTTAGTTTTATGTGTCCCGGCCCGGAATTGTTTTGGTACTAAAGTCAAATACCCTACCCTACGCGCCCTAACCGTATAAATTTGTAGGGCTTCAATCGAAACCTCGAGTATTCTTGTACAATCAACAATACCTTGGGTTTGCTCTTAAAACCTCGGGTCTTGCTTTTGTAACCCGTACTAAACCCATATTTGACCCGTACTAAACCCATATTTAACCCGTATTTGGAAAGCCTTGGGTTTCCTTCACAACCCCTAGGTTTTTCCATCGACCCTACAAATTTATAGGGTTTGGGCTTGGAAGGTATATATCTATTATGTGGGGGCCTTATCTCGTTTAATTACTTAGAAGTAGGAGGTCATGTCACAGTATCTCGTTCAGACTACTTTACTGGCAGATCACACTATCTCGTTCAGACTATACTTTAGCGTCATCAAGCAAAAGTTTATGTGATGGCCCTATCTCGTTCACAAGCGAATACTGATGATAGACAAGCAAATAGAGCATGCCGTGAACTAATTATATAGTCTAGTAAAGCCTAAATAAAAGTGGTTGCTCATATGTTTCCTTTTTGACCTTTGTCTTGGTATCAACTTTGTTTTACACAAAATCCCTAATTTCCAGCTCAAGAGGCAGAGCGCTCTGCTGGATCCGCCACCTGACGAACACCGGTGAGTGTCAACGGCGCCCACGAACAGGAGGAGGGGGAGAGCGAAGCTGTCCAGTCGATCAACCATAAAGAAAGTGGAATGGATGTTCATCCTGTGTCAACCTCTCAGTGCACACTCAGTTTCTCCGGATGTTTCTTTTTTCAAAAAACATCTTCGTCCTTGGCATGAGAGGCACACTCAATGCACACTCAGTCGCTCTCTCGTGTACACTCAGTTGCTTCGTCGTCTTCGCTTCGAACCTCGTGATGTTCGATGTGTCGCTCGCTCGAACCAGACGGCGGGAGCGGCGGGAGCAGCGCCTGGTCCAAGGACTCGAAGTCGATATATCTTCGCAGGGCCTCCATGTAGACCTCACGCACACCGGTGCAAGTACGTCGTACGTCGAAAGGTAAAACAAACCAGGCTGCTTGGGCTGACCCGAGGATCAGCCATACAAGTGTCAAGTTCTACAATACGGAGCAATTGCCTTTCATATTGTTGATGGTTTTTGTCTTTAATTGTGTCTTTTGAAGCTTCAGGTGTCCTGAAAGCCATCTTCAACTAAACAGCCATCCCAAACACTCCATGTATATCGTATTTGCCTACATTGACCTCTGAAACCACCTCCTTCATGTAGGTAGATATTCCGATATTCCATGGAGTGTGGGAATTGAGATCAAATGATGACCCGACCCTCACCTTCACCTGGCGCCGCCAAAAGTGTCTGGCGCCCCTGGAGCATTGCGCCGCCGCAATCCTCAGCGCGACCGCTCGTGTGAGGTTGGGTTGGGTGAAACAGCTGAGTCATAAAACGCATTCAAATGAATAACGAATGTTCATCTATAACAGCTAAGCCTCCTAAAATGCATCTATAAAGGCAAAACCAATGTTTATAGGTGTTCAATACACCTCTTGAGCCTCAAAAAGGCATGGTCCAACTTATACAACCTCCGAAACTCCAATCCCTCCTCTGCCGGGTCCTGCCTACGACCCCCGCCTGAAACGGCCTGGCCGCCGAAACGGGTCCCTTCATGTCCGAACTCGGACAAGATGCCCTACTTCTCCTCTAAACCCCCTCTCCGAGGTGCTTTCATCCATGCTGGAACTTCTCCAAACCCTGCGGAACAAGGTGCAAATCCTCTAACTCCTCTTCGCCCTTGGAGCCCTGCTCCGCGGCACTCTGCAACACCGAGAGCACTTGCGCCATGCTGAGGCGGAACTGCGAGCGAAGCGGGTCTGGCGCACCTCGCGGTCCGCGGTTCACGCTGCGACCGCGGGACCCGCTGGACCCGCTGTCGTGGGTGGCTGGGACTCCAAGGTCTGAAGATTGATGGGACTCCAAGGTATGATGCAATGCGGCCGGTGAATCGATCACACGTTTTGACCCGTTCGAAACGAAAAAGTCTTGTTAGCGAAGAACGAAACATCTTGCAATTGCTTGGAGGCCTCAATGAAAGATTGCCTCACACGAGAAAAGGGGATGAAGAAAGCTAAGTGGCTGTTCAATGCCTGGGTCCCTTCTGCAGGCGTGCTTGGTTCATATGACCAAGTCATCCAACGCACCAACAAAAATGATAACAAGAACTCGCCACAGCCAGCAGATACTGATTCATTGTGGCATTGACCGTTGATTTCTTGGTGTTGAGTCTTTGTACATGAGTCCAACAATAGGTATGGCTCAAACATGTCTACACGCACCTGCGAAACCACTGCTGATTCCGAACATACCAGTGAGTGACCGGGTGGTTTTTGCACACATCCTGCTTCTGAGCCAAGTCACTGGATGTGGTGGGGAATTCTTGATAGATCTACTGTAGATGCCAAACAAAATGAGACAGAAACAACGATTTGTCAAGTGACTGGTACTTTGCAAGGTCCATCCAGGGTCCATCCAGGGTGTCTCCATTCTGTCAAATCCATGTTGATGATGACCCTAGTGAAGTCTCTGCACCACACCCCACCCCACGGCTCAGTCCAGGCTGAAACATCATAACTCGCATCCGCTCGAAAGCGTCGGCGGTCGGCTCCGAGTGGCTCCGTTGCAGTTGGGTGAAGGTCTTTTGGGTCCAATGTTGGTAGTTCCTCACGAGAGGTTGGATCAGGTTGGATCACCAGGGTCATCTTTGCGGGACGTGGCCGAGAACTGTGGGTTGGAAGATGGTGAAAGCATGTGAGAAAGCTATATACAGCTGCTGGCAATGTCATGCAGTGCCTTAGAAACTTGCAATCTGCAGAATCTCTATATATTCAAACGGTTCTGGTGTATTACCTGTGAATTAAGATAATGAGTCATCTGTTGTACCCCCCTTTGCTTTTGAGAAGGCACTTCCCAGATCTTGCCAGAGCCACAAAATCTGCAGCCCCTGAAATACCCTCGTAATCGTGCAATGAGAGGAGCGTAATCATGCGATGTGAGGCGTAGGTCAAAACCAACGGTGTGCAGAAATGGACACCCTGAGGCAAACCAAATTCGATGCTAATTATTCCTGCAATGACCACATGCGCATCTTTGCAGAGATGTCACAAGGCGATCGATCATGCTAGATCATCGAGGAGAATCACACTGAAGAGAACAATCATAGAGTTGAAGCACATAATGCACTTGGTCCATCCAATGATGGGCGTCCAATGGACATCTAAGTAGTGTAGGGTACTCCATTGGACATCCCACCACAGTCTCTGAAAGCACCATCCCCTTGCCTGCGCGGCGGCCGCCGCCAGCGCGGCGAGGGCGGCCGAGCACCTGATGAGCTGGCAGAGGAAATCTGCTGCTGGAGCTCGCGGTTGTGGATGATCCAATCCGGGTCCACCTCGAGATGATTGAGGATGGTTGAAAGGAAATGGTGCCAGGCTGCTCGGGCCGGTAACGTCGTCTGCCAAGAGGTCTTGTCAAGTCGAGGACATGATCCAGCAAGGTTATCGCTTTTGAGGGGGTCTATCGCTTTAGGGGGGCCTATCACGTTTGCAGGTTTTTGAAACCATGTCAAAAGAACTGCCCTGCGGGGATATGGCTATCGCTTTTGCAGATTTTGGCCAAATTCCTGACATGCACGACCGCTCTGTACTAAATTAGTCATGGCACGGCAATCGGCAATTGCTCATTAGTCGATGCTTGGGGTTGGGTTGTGAGGACAGAGTTGAGATGCTGGACATTCCTTGCTGGTCACCAGGAAAACCTGTTGCTTTTGGAGGACAAAAGGAGACCTCCCTGGAGATCTGACTGGGAAAAGGTTCGATGGTTACGTGGCATGTGCAATGAGTTGCAATATTTTCAAAGTCTATAGGAATCTGGCATATCCTGACATGAAAGATTGCGGATCTGGCAGGTGCTGCACCATGCGTCATATAGATGTCCTCCCAGTCTTCAAAAACCAAACAATGGTTCAGGTCATGAGAGCAGATTCACTGGAACTACCATCCTCCGTGGATAGAAACACCATCTGGAACATCTGGAATATTCATGAATATTCACATTCACCAAGCCTTGTCACCAACCACCTAAAATTGAATTCCCCATGGGGTGCCCATGGACTTCCAAAAAAACGAAACGAGACACTGATCACACTGACCCACAGCATCTCCACCTTAGCACTCCCAGCACTTATAGAAGAATTTTCCCTAGCTCACCCTCACTTTCAGTACGCGACTTCTTTTCCGCTCACCATCCCTCCGCCTCCTCATGCATCCAAACACTTTCTTTCCGAGACACCGCCACCACATAGCCCCGGTCATCGAAGCCCTTGCGCCCGGCGCGCCCGGCGATCTGGTGGAACTCCCGGGATCCTCGGTCGGACCGAAGGAGCGGAGCGGGGTCGGACCGACGGACCCGTGGTGCGACCGGAGTCCTTCAAAGCCTGCCAAGGATATCCCAGGAAAATAGCAGGTATTCCCCCAAAAAGGTCAGTGAGTGGCTGGATTCATCAACGGGAGGACCCGTAAGCCTTAAGCATCCGAAGGACGGGTGTGTGTGTGTGTGTTTTCCGAGCGGACCAGATCGGAGGTTTGTGGACCCGCTGGATCTGTGGGATCATCCAGTTGGAGCCTTAAAAGCACCGACACTCCATGGGACGGACAGCCATATTGACCTATAGTGAGGTGGTTGAAAAGGGGTGAATCCGCTTAGCCATAGGACTGCCAGTCCCAGACAGGTTGTGTCTAAGAACCTCTCAAAGCCTCACAGCAGTTACCTTGACCCCACCTTAGATCCCAGAAGCCGGCCCTGGCTTCCCTCCCAAAGCCGTTGCTGATTCGAGCGGCTCATGATCCGCGTCTCCTCCCCATCAAACTTACAGAGCCGGGTGAAGAGCACGCTGCGGATCGGCACATTGATGCCGACCCCCAAGGTGTCAGTTCCACAGACCAGCGCCAACAGGGAGTCCTGCAGGATGTTCTTCGCACAGCAACGTGGAAGATGGAAGAACAACAAGGTGGTACAACGGTGCAGCGGCTGGAGGAACTGAGGATCTCCGATCTCCCAAACATCTGGCCTCTTTGGATGAATGCATCAAGAGTTCTGAAGGAGGGTTTATAATGACTACAGTCTTGTGACATGGCATGTTCACATCCTTCATGCTGCTCTATCGCCGACCACCTGTCAAGCCTGTGGATTTCCCCTGCTCCAGCCGCTGGAGTGCAGCTTCACTCCTGCGTGAGCTGCTCCACGAGTCGTCGATAGCAGGGCAATAAGCCAGCATGATGCACTCCAACACCTGCCGTGAGACGGTCGAGAGAAACCGAGGTTCCTCGTTCTGAAACCGAGGGTTCTGCTAGAGTCTGCCATAAACATCAAAGTGTGTGAAACCCTAAATACATACACCTATATATACTGTCTATCACAAAATTAGCACTAAAGTATCATAATTGGTCTTGGACAACTGGCGCATCACCGTCAACCCCTTGAATCATGTCTTGGAGTGGTGGTGAGCTTTCACTTTAAGACCTTTGTTGTGGTACAGCGCTTCAAACCCGTTCATCTTAAATATCTTACTGTAAATATGTTTATATACAGAACGGTAATTGCAATCTGAACTGGATGGGTCATAGATTCATTATTAATTATGATTCATCGTTCCCATGGTTTGACCCTTCTCCAACCATCTCCAATCGCAGGGTGCACCTCTCAGCAGCAATTCCCGCAATTCCACACCAAAGGGGGAGCTGAAGTGCGCCGCCTCGTCTTCGTGCGGCTGGCCGTCACCCGAAGTCCGTCAGACAGTGCGGTTGGCTACCCTCTGTGCGGAAGAGACGTTGGACGGCCGGTCAGCTCTGTCGCAACCCAAAACACCTGGACCATCCTGTCTGAAGATCCCGCATAGTGGTTCAGGCTAGGCTAACCCAAATGGCCGGATGGTCCTGCATGGTTAAAAAAAACCTCCCTGATATCTATAGCCGTATTTGTGTTCAGCTTTAACTTTCAAGCTTAGCCCTTAGCTCCACCCTGCTCCAGATCTTCATCACCTGAACATCTGTGGACTGTGTTTTGGCTTTTCAGGGCAATTGACCAGTCTACCCATTGGGTCAGGGGGGGCTCCTCCTATTGAACTCTACACTCCCTGGAACCACCCCATGGACGAAGGCTGACCCCGCGTCCACTCGGGCGCCATCCGCGGCATCCGCGGCACCGGGCCACGAGCCCAACGTGGCCCGTCCGCGGCGTCACCGGACACGGAGTTTCCACGTGGGTTTCAGAACACCACGGGGGGAGCCCAGGAGGAGTCCAAGAGTCTTCTTCAAATTGGAAGAGGATACACACTTCTACTTGGATGTGCTGTTCTGGAACTGGGGAAAAGAACTCTTCCCCATTCTGGGGAGAAAAAAACATGGGGATTGTTTATAAAGTCGTCATCCTAAGCAAAAATCAGGTCTATAAATTAATGTCATCTCAACAAACATCGATCAAGGAACAGAAAAAAAGGCCCCATTTGTTGGAGATTTTTTCTTAAGGACCTTCAAGTCCATGTCCGATGCCGAAACTAGGATTTGGGACCCAACATGCAGCAGTTGGTTCAGGTCCAGGTCTGGGATACTTTAGCAAGTCTGACTGGTGTCTCGGGCCCGTGCAAAGGAACAAACCATGGCCTTAAAACAACGAAATCCACCACGATCCACCATGAATACTCCAACTGAGAAAAAAAACACGACAAGTATGACGAATTTCTTGTTGTTGGACCATTGGATCCTCTCAAAGAGCCCGTGAAAGGCGGCTCCACGTCACATCAAGGGTCTCAGTGCGGCCAAAACGAGCACAGAGGCACCTCCACCCGCTCTCGCAGGGCTGCAGGGTCTTGCAACGCTGATGCCCTTGGGTCGGGTCTTGGAGGGCTTCACGGGGTTTTCGCGGCTTGGGCAAGGAAGTCACATGAGGTAGACCCCTCAGCCAATGTGGATAACCCACATTTGATCTTGGGTCAAACTGGGAAGTCTCCACATTTCAATGCACACACATGGGACTGTGGAGTCTTGGCCAGAAGAACCCCCCCTTTGCTTCGTAATGAAGTGAATTTGACGGCCACATCCACTAATCCACTAGCCCTTTATATCTTCGGATCCTCAGTTCCTGCCTGAAAAGAAGCTAAAAGAAGACACTCCGAGAGACCAAAGTGGAAACCGCCTGTTTGGTATTCGGAAAAGGGTCATCCAAGGCGCGATGCCATCCACTTCCATAAGTATTTCAGGGAGTTAATATTCAAAGCTGAGGATCATTGATTCTCAGAACCTTGTGTTCATCGGCACCGGTCGAGACATAAGCATCTGTCCATCTTACTGAATATCTTCACGATCATTTCAAGCACCCTGTGGAGTCATATAGAAGGTCCATTGGTGAACATGATCTGGGTTCCAGTGGGCATGGGTCCATTGTCCAAGCTTGTCAAATGGTCCTTGGATCCTAAAGACAGGACCTCTTTTAGCCCCTGCTGTTCAAGGAATACATATCAAGAACTTTCAGAATGAGGGAAGGAAACAGAAACCATTGCCTAGACATGCCTCGACGCATCATCAGAGTAAGATTCTTGGGGCCATCACCTTGCCCAGTCCCTCTGGTCCACCTAAAAGGCAAGCAAAATTAAAGCAGTTTTGGGCTCAGAAGCTGGTCCGACCCGGCAGCACCCACCTAAGTATCTTCTAAGGAGGTAGTTGGGGCCCTCTCAGCATGGATCCTCCCTTTCATCAGCTTGGCCAAGGTACAGCACAGGCGTCCCATCGCTAGTCTGAGCATCTGCCATCTTCTTGGCAGTCTCAAGGGCTTCGCGTTGGGAGAAATGCACCTGAGACTTTGAAGAAACACGCCAAACGCAGCAGGGAAAACATGTTGCCTTTTTTGCTTGCATATTTCAGGGAAAACATGTTGCCTTTTTTGCTCGCATATTTCAGGGTGAGTCACCTCGGAATCATTGAAGACACATCGGCCATGGAAGGAGGTTCAGTCTGTTGGGTGGGATTTCTCAGAGATCTCAAGGGTCCCAGAAAATCTGAGGGTCTTGGCTTGTCTGGGTGATCTCAGGGTGCTCGAGATCAGAATTGGGGCAGAACATATGCCCTTCAATCATGGGTGGGATCCGACAGATTTGCCAGATCCTGTTTGCGAATCCCAAGAGTTCTCAACAATCAAGACCAGGAAAGAAAAGTGAAGACTTGAAATATCCCTTGAATGACGGTGGGTTCCTTGACTTTGTTTCGCTCCCATCACTCCACGACTCCTCTCCCATCTTCGGGTTCTAAGACACCACATAGATCGGCGCTCGCTGGGTTTGCACCAGCTGGCCAATGGAGGACTGCACTGAGTCCTCGCTGTAGGAGAATTGCCTCAGTTGCACGGGGCAATGGGCTAAAGTCAAATGGCCAAAGTCGCATAGTTCCACTGTTGAAGGAAACAAATCCCACAGCACCTGAGCTTGACCAAACCCGCGGCCGCCTGTTTTGGGGGTTCCGTGTGACGTGGCGCCATGATCGTGGTGGGAGAAAGACTGAACTTCCCCCCTCGGCACTGGCGAATTCGTTCGTCCGATCGTAGCGATTCACCCGAGAACACCGAAGAACCGCCCTGCTTTCCGAGTAAGATCCACATGGAAACCACGAGAACCACGTTAGGTTGTTTTTTTTGGAAAACCGTGAAATCCCAAACACGACGTTTCAAGTTCCCTGTCCATCTTCCAGGACCATCCGTTCTGATGGGTCACCTGGCTGGACTAGCCTCCACTCTCCGGGATCGGACGCCCAAACAGGATGGTCCAGGTTCCTGGGTGTTCGAAAGCAACACCCGACTCGACAGATCTCCGAAAGCAACTCGAGGCTTGTTGTACTGCATGTGTTCCAACGCTTGAAACCCGCTAGCGAGCCAAACGACCATTTGGCCCGCGTTGAAGTAAGGGTGCCGCTCTAGAGGCCCTCGGCTCTGTGTGAAGCCTGAGGTGAAAAGCACCCAAAAGCCCCTTGTCATCCATGGACAGGGGGACCCTTCGCTCGCGCCCGCGGCGCCGGCCGAGCTGCAGTGGCACTGGCCGCACCGTCGAAGACACGACCCGCACGGGGCGCCCCGAACGGTCCTGACGGGCACGCGACAACGGTCACGTGTGGAGGGGTTCGAAAACACAGTCGTCAGCAAGAATTTGTGATAAGTGTTAGAAAGAACCGCCTTCAGTTCAACATCCTTGCCGATCATGTCCAAGAAAACAGACCCTCCCTGAAACAGTCATGGAAGTGGAAATTAAGGTGAGCCCGGGAACCCAAAAGCAAAAACCACCACATATATTCAGTGACACTGAGACGCTCCAAACACGTTCAATTTGAGCTGGCGCATCCATGCAATTTTTCATCTGGCGAAGCATCTGCGATCTTCAGGCCGGCCACAGGCATGGGAAGTTCGGCTCGTGGAGGTCAAGACGGCCTCCAAAGGAACACATGCATCGGTGGTTCTCGCACCAAAGCTGTCAGCAGGCCTCGTTTGGAGCTGGATTCGGCAACATCGTCAGTTTCCAATGAAAGTTCATTATAAGACTTGTATACGTCCGCCTTGATCGCGCGGACAGATTCCAACACCCGTGCTGGATTCCATGGATCATCCCGAGCTGATCGTTTGTGGTTGATCTTTGAACGCTATTCACATTGGTGTCACGAAAACCGGCACTTGCAAAACAAGAGAAAGGTGTTTGGATGAAGCGTTGCTTGTAAAACGTGTGTTTCATGACCCTGCACGTAGTTGAACGAGGAATTCCTCACAGTTGCCGCGCTCGATCATTTCTATTTCAGCAGAAGACAATCCAAGCGCAAACAAACAAGTACCCGGCCATAGGCAAAAAGAAGATCAACGGAGCGTCAAGCCGATTGATGATTTTCTTCATGGCTTTTGTTTCTGCTGAAATCGAATGTTTCAATCCAAATGAGGTGAACAGGTGGGCCTAGCTCGATTTCTTGGAATTTCAACTTTCACAGCGCACTTCCCAAGTTTGTTTTGCTGCAAGAATTCCAAGAAACTTTGGTAGGTGGCTCGCTGTCATCTTCAGAGTCTTTGCAGAGATGATGAAAATCATCCATCTTCACGGACCCGGATAGATGCCACTGCAGTCCAACCAAACTCTGGAAAACCTCTACCTCGAGTACCGTGTTCACTACAACCGATTGTTGATAATATAAGTATGTATCTATCTGTCTATCTATCTATTGGTGCGGTTGCGGTCATGTCTTGAACTTTGTTATAACAAATCATTTCGTTAAAAGAGTGAGCAAGGAAACCACTGAGGACTTGCAAACTGGGCGCTGCAACAACGTCGTTTGTTGTTCTCACAGTGAGACCCAAAATTCACTCCTTGGAACATATGTTTCTTGGCATGACATGTGTGTGTTCGGGGGACATGACTCTCTGGATCCAACTGCAGGACGCATCGCGTCCGATCGCAGGGTCCCCCACAGTTTCGGACCACTGTGCGACCACTGTGCTGTGGTTAGGTTGGTGGCGTCCGGCCCCACCAGCCTGAGCTTGCCCAGAGAAGTTTTCATTTAAGAGAAAGGACACAGCTCAGGGCATTTTTTAAAACATCAAAAAACGCGTTTGATGGAATTTACTTGCATTGGAAATTGTTCAGGTAGAAAACTTCAGCCCCAACACCAACCAATGGTTCAAGACTGCACGATGCCCATTCTCAACCATCGAACAGGCCAAGAACTAGACTTTTCGTTGCTGTACATGACTTTTGGGATACCTTCAAACCGCCCCAACGCCCAGAAGGGAGATACGCATTCGGTCATGCGACATTCTCAAAACCTTTGTCAAGGCCCAAGTGGTAAATTCTCAAATCATTCACTAGATCTCACCCCTCCCCCAGACTTTCTGGGCTTATGACTCGGGTATCCGCTTCCAGCTTGCGCAAAGGATTGTTCTTCCACCAACCTTGGAGCCACCTTTCTAACGTCCTTGCGCAATGGACTAGGGATCTCTTTCCCACCTCTTCTTGTGTAGAGCTTGGCCAGTAGCCCACCCTGTCCAGGCTGCCAGCTGCCTGGTGCGTGTGAGTCGGCCTATGTAGCCAAATCGACATAATGGAGGTTTGTTTTTTTGTTGATTCTTTGCCAGGTCTAGGATCGAATCATAACTTCCAAATTCCAGCAAGCAACTGTGCCTTCTCCCAGCCACATGTGGCCTCTGTCAAAAGTGAAGACCCCAAAAAAACATCTCTCCTTGCGAATGTTCTACCCCATCTCCCACAGTTCATAGTCCCCTTGTCCTTCACCTTCTCCAGTACACGTGAGCCACGCCAAACCCAACAGCAAAACAAGAGGTCCAAAAAGATCGGCGCTAGAATATAGGCAACCCCCTATAATAAAAAGAATCTTTCATATGGTAAGGCCAGAATCCTTGATCAAAAAAGTCAAATGGAAAAGTCAATGTCAAATTGAATATGAAAAGACAAAAAAGTCTTAAAATGAAGTCGAAACAAGTTCAAAAAAGTCAAACAAAGTCAAACATAGACCACAGCTCGGAAACAAAAAGCCAAATAATATTGAAAAAGAGCCCAAAAGAGTCGAGAAAAAAAACAAAAAAAAGTCAAAATCAAAAAACAACTCGAGAAAGTCATAAAGTAAAGAAAAGTCAACCACTCGAAAAAGTCAAAAAAGTCGAAAAAGGTTAAAAAAAAATCTGAAAAAGTAAAGAAACAGTTTTTTGACATTCTGAAACTTTCTGAGTTGACTTTTTTTGATTTTGGACTTTTGGGGTTGGCGTTCTTGCTTTTTTTGAATTTTAAATTTTGAAAACAGGCTCTCTCCAGTGAAAGATTTTTATAACTCTATCGCTGATGAGGGGTCAACGGATGAGTAATGTTCACCTCTGATTAGTACTGTCCATACCGGACCAGACTAAGACTCCATGTATTCCACATGTGTCATGTATAGGCATGCCAACCTTCTTTGTCAAGGGCTCAAGAGATCTAGTACTCTGCGTGTAAAAAACACTGCTAGCCTGTACCCTCTAAGGGGTATACGCGGTAGTCGCTCTTTCAGTGGTAGCGGAGCAGTGATCCTGGAAGACCCAGGTGAGCTCCTTTCCTAGGCATAGACTTGCCAGTGGGCAAACGGCCATGGACGGATTCGGCTTACGAGCTGGCAGCTTATGCCAATGGGCATGTGAGAAGAGAACCAGCAGCAATAGCTATGACTACTCAAGTGACAACAAAAGCTCCACCTTCATATGATGGTAATTAAGACATCCAGGTTTTCCTATGAGGCCCCCCGCTGGACCACATACAGTTGCAGAACCGCAGCTCCACAGCAGCCGTGGTCATACAGAGTCCACTTCCAACGCTCGCGCCCCCCTGCTGGACCACATAAAGTTGCAAAGCCGCAGCCGCAGCTCCACAGCAGCACCGCGTGGTCATCCGCAGCGTCCCCTTCCAACGCTCGCGCCCCCCCGCTGGGCCACATACAGTTACAAAACTGCAGCTCCACAGCAGCACCGCGTGGTCATCCGCAGCGTCCCCTTCCAACGCTCGCCCCCCCCCCCCGCTGGGCCACATACAGTTACAGAACCGCATCTCCACAGCAGCACCGCGTAGTCATCTGCAGCGTCCCCCCGCTGGACCACATACAGCTGCAGAACAGCAGCGCAACACCGCGGAGTCCTCATGCTCGCTCCCTCCCGGTTAGCAAACTAAACGAGAACCCAAGCATCGGAGATGCTTTTGCCAAAAACAGCCAGCTCAAGGCAAACAGTCTTCCAAGGGGCCATGTGCCACTTCCATGTTTGTTGAAGGGAGGGGTCTTTTGATATTTCGGTCATATCGAAGTTGCGCCGTTGAGCTACCAATCCACTTTAAAGAAAGTCGTGAGGGCCGTAGAGCTCGCGGCTTCGGCGGTCCTGCAGGGTTTGATAAAGCTTCGGATTGGAACCTTAGAAACACATGCAGCCAGCATGCCCAAGGAGCCAAAGTTACGAAACAGCACCAAGCGATGCATCAGGAATAGAAAGTACCACGCCTCTGTCTTCCAGTGTTGTTTTTGGTTGTGACATTCTTTGTTTGGAAGGTTGATCCACCATCTCTTGCAACAGTATGCCCCCCTCCTACATCAATGAGCGACCTGGCATGCCCCGAAACTAAATCATTGATGCCTCACGCAGAAGGTGAGTCTTATTCCAAGATATTCCAAGTATCAAGCAAACCTGTCTGCAACAGCTGAAGAACGTGCTCTCAAAAGAAATTGGTTTCTTCAGTAGTCTGAAGTTGTACATCCAGCAGACCTCATCGTCAAAAGCTGAGGCACCCAGAGTGCCAGACATCAGCAAGAAGTTTGTGCGGCAACCTGGGAAGATGCAGCGCGCAGCGCTGGTTTCGTTGGTCCGGGCATTGGTTGAGGCACTCCCCTGCAAGTACATCTTGGAACAAGTTGGACACTAATATCGACTTGCAAAGACCATGCTTCAGTTTCAAGTTCAAAAGCTGCTCAAACGTGGGAGTATGACTAGGCCCTAGGAATACTTTTACCTCCTACAAGACGGGATAATGCATAATTTGCCCGTGTCTCTCTGTATGTTTCTCAAAACTTTCTTGAGATAAAACATGCTAAAGAACATGATAGAAAATAGTATAAAACATGAAACAAATATTTTTTAAAAAAATACACTTCTTAGCACAAGCTGAGATTCATACCCCGCGAACAAACATCACCCACCCCCCTTCTTCTTTCGCTTTTCGCTCCGCCCCGACCTGGCCGACTGAGCCGCCACAGAGGCAACTCCCAAGCGGCGCCCCGGTCCGGATCCCCGAAGTAATGGAACTCGTCCATGACCACCTGGGTCCGCAGGGGAACGCACAGCGGGTTTCCGGAAATGGGTGGGAAACACCATGGGGTTCCTTTATAGGTTCCTTCAGGAAACACACGGAAAACGGGTTTCCTCTATATAGGTTCCTTTGTCACCTTAGTTTGTTGCATCTGTTGGTCGTTTTCTCCCCGAAACCCACCTCCACCTGGTGCTGAGGGGTTGGTCCTTTCAAGCAAGCGAGCTTGGCCGTGTTGGCAACACCCATCGATCAACGTCCGTTTCTCGATTTGCCGTTTAGTCCGGGCCGCCCGTGTGGAGCATGTTCCCCCTTTGAGAGGCATGGCATGTTTTGATCTAGAACTTGCAGGTGCAGGGAAAACTTGATCCTAGAAGTCCATATGGTCCATAGGCAATAAAAGGAATTGTCTGACTAGGGGACCTGAAAGAGAACTTCCTTGACTTCACCAAGGAAAAGTATCTTGGACGTCTAAGGCCTCCTAGGGCCTCAGGTTCCTTCGCTTCCTGTCCACAACTATCGTCCAAGTGGAGCAACATCGTCGGCATCTGTCGAGGCACAGTCCAGATCGCTTCGCCCGAGTCGCGGAGGGAGATACTGGTCAACACCTCTGCAGTACCTGAGCCATTCACGCTCGCGTGCGTGCGATGACAAACTTATGGGTGCTGGTGGCTGTTGAACATATTGACCAGATTCCAATGAAGCCAAAGACCACCCGTGAGAAGCGCTGGCCCAGAGGGTCAGCTTTTTGATTATAAAGCCAATGCACATGATGCACTCTAAGCATTGCCTGCATCATTTGCTTTCCCAAAGGAGAGCTCAAACCTTCCACCAGGCAGCAACCTGACTCTTCAAATTCAAAGCCTTTCAAGACCCTTGCACACCGATTTCGACCTAGGTGCAGCAAATCAGAGGCGCCCGTGTGTTGATGGCCACATCTCCAGTGGCCTCGGAAGGCAGCCAGTGACAGCTTAGCAGTCCACAGCTGGCCAGTCATGGCTTGGTGGAACGTCATTGTCCGTCTATTGTCGAACACATTTGAGCTGGGTTGGTCTGTTCGGGGCAGGCTGAGAATCTTTCGAACTCGAACTCTGAAACAGATCCTGCATTCCATCGGCCGCGGACATATTTGGACTCCTTGACATTTCTGTACAGTATCTTGGCTTTGGGACCCTGAAGATTCCCTGATCGTTCTTTTCTGCAAGTATACTACTTAAGTAAAGTTAGGTCCTTTATGGACACAATCAGAACAACCACTCCGGGGATCACCTACAAACATCCTGGATCCACCATGTTCAGTCTGGCAGGAACAAGAAGCCTTCCTTGAGTGGGCCAGCTGGGTGGTGCCCTCGTTTTCAGCGTCCAAACTTGGTCTCCAAGCGAGAAAAACTTGGACAGTTCATGGCAGTTCCAGCCACTCCCAACTCCAGTCGAAGACCTGTCCGTGCACCAAAAAATCCTCCACTTTCTCTCTTTCAACTCCTCTTGTTCTTCCCTACTTCCCACACTCCCGAACTCCTTCGCTCCTGAGGCTCCGCCCCCTCAGACAAATTAATAGAAAACTATTTTAGCACCAACTTGCCATCAGCACCAGTGAGATGGCACCTCAAACATATATAGTTCCGTATAGGGCTCCTGTGCCGTATCCTCAGGTGTTTAGACCTTCCTGGCACTCACCCGAACCACCTAAGCAAAGCAAATGGATGGAGAACTCAGCCAGGAGCCCAAACCCAAAGCTGGAAAATAGACCAGTCAACCCATTGCCTGAGGGTCATTAAAATACACACCGTACCATACCGTATACCCATATGTCCATTTCCTGCCCAGGGCGCCATCCCCACGTTCTTGGCCCCGAAGTGTCGGCAGAGGTCGAAGAACTTCTCGCTCGTCAGCGCCTCAAAATGTCGTGTCGAGGTTGTAGTAGTAGTAGTAGTAGTAGTAGTTGTTGTTGTTGTCGTCTTTCTTTTATATATAATATATATATATGTATATATACATGACTTGTTCGGTGCTTCGGCCACTCGGCGCTTCGCGGCCGGAGATCCGGAGAGGACAGGGGGGCGCCCGTCGCCGGCGCGTTGTTACGGAGCGCAGGGGGGGTGAACGAGACGACGGCGTCTGTGTACGCAGAACCGACCCGTGAAGAAGAAGAACATCGGTTGGAATTGAGACCCGAATCTGAGTTGCTGTCTGGGTCCGCGTTTTCTTAAGGTTGGAAATCCGACTCTGGCCTTAAGAAGCCTCCTATTTAGGAGACCTGTTGGATGCTAGTTGTCTTCCCTGCTCTTGCAGTCCTGAGATCGTGGTCAATTCATGTACTCTGAACTTCCACGGCCCAGATGGGTCCTCCAAAATGGGATCATCCGAATTAGCTTACTTGCTGAGTATTGATTGCCTCTTCATATTTGATTAGATCTTTACAGAGATATGCAGAATTAAGTCTAAGCCCACACGTCTCTTTCGCTTCTAAGGGAGTGAGCACCTCACAACCAAAGAAAGCAGCACCAAAGAGCTCCACAATGTCTCCTCTCACACGAAAGCACACACTGACACCTCCTGGCCCCCCTCCCCTGGCCCTACCTTGGTGGGAGAGGTGTAGTAGGCGCGCCCACGATGGCCGCCCTTGGCACCCTCGCCCAAGGCTTTGAAGAGCGCAGCGACCGCCACCAAACTCTTCCCGCTGCCCGTGGGGGTGTCCAAGACCTTGGGATGTGAGTTTTCTCGCGCAGAATGCAGAAACCGAGTAGCTGTTTTTTCTGCGGCGGCACCACTTTAAACATGCCTTAATGGTCCATGCCTTAATGGGCAGTTTGTCTTTTTCGGGTTAGAGTTGCTCATGTGTACAAATAAGTTGCGATACAGTATGGGTAGCTGCGATTGTTTTATCGAGTCATATGTCTGAATGCACTGCCAAGACACCACATGAGCTCCTGAAAAGATCTCAACAATGGCTTCCTAGGTGGCCAAGTTCCAGTAGCATCCAAAAAGGGTGTGACAAGGGTGGTTTTCAGCTAGCCCAAGAGCAACAAAACTGGAGGTTGGCCGTTGGGAGGACTACTGGGGTCTCCCCTTTTCCATGCGCTGCGTTTCAGTGTAGCTAGCATGACATGGGGACGTGATCTGCTTTCCGGGTGCAGCTGATCTTCATGAAGTTGCTTTGAAAGTGCTGCCGAAGTTCCTCTTGCGCAGGGTAGAGTTCGACACCTGCCAAACTCAAGTGGCTTGGACGGCAACGATCAACAATCAACTAGGAAAGGGACCAGTTCAAACCGGCTTTCATACACTCATTCACTAACATGCAAGTGGACATGTCCCTAAAAAAGAAACCATGTGCAAATGCACATATAGTGTGTAGTGTATCCTTGCAAAAGGGTTGCGTCACTGCCCCCCCCCAAACAAAAAATCGCAATCCAGGCTCAGTACCGTTGACTGGTCAAACAGCTCAGCACCGTTGGCTCCGATCTACACCTCCCCAACCATGTGTGGTGTGTGTATATTATTGACTATACATGATATAATAGGGAGGCCACTCCCGGACGTCCGATCCATGAAACTGAATATACCCCAAACACTCCATGGGACTGCCATAGGACTGCCGCCCCTCTTCAACCCCTCTTCAACCACCTCGGGCACCCCGGTTGCCGTTGATCGGCAGTCCGAATCGGCTGGAAACCCGACAGGTCGTGTCTGCGTGGAACAGGTCCACCCAGGTCAAACCGCTCCGGGGGTGAAAACCATCGCAGTCTCAGACCAGCTCGAACGAACACGTGACGTCTTCGTCTTCGTGACGCGAAGGAGCGCAGCTGCTGCGCCTCGTTCCTCCAGGGCCTCCATGAAGCGCAAGAGCAACCCATCCGACGCCTCCACCGCCTCCGACCCATCCACGCGGCGGGTGGCGAAGGACTGGCGGCGACGGACGCTCATGGAGCGCAGGGAGCGTGTGTGGTCAGCGGAAGAGGCGATGGTATTCCAAACGAACGGGTTTTGGGTGAGACAAAAGCTCCATGTTTGCCCTAACCCCCAGAGTTTCAGCTTCACACAGAAAAGAAAACACTGTATGGGCATTATAGCCGCACATTCTCAGATACCATTTTGGTGCGCAAACAGGTTTCCGGTTTGATTCCTTCCGTCGAAAGCAAACTCTGAACTTGACTCCCCTCTCACCGGTTCTTGGAATATTCCAGTCATGCCAGCCAACTTGGAATTCCCACCTGAGGCAAGAACTTCTGCAGCCACGGCAGGGGCTTTCCAAGCGGCGCAGTGGCCTCGTCCGCGCGGGCGCAGGAGCGCCCCGGTAACACCCAATGATCCCTGTGCTGCCGCATCTGGGTGTGCATAGCTCCAGATAAGTGAGACCTCCCGTTTGAGCCCCTGAACGGTTCGGGAAATAGACCAGTCTATACCCATTGGTTGGAGGGGTTGTCCTGGATCTAAACTTACGGTGACTACGTATTCTAAAACCCCTCAAGTCACACTATCAGGCACAGGCCGTTGGGATTTGCGACTCGAAGAGTGAGGCGGACATTGGCATGCCCAGACATTGGCATCATCTATCGCCGTTTCGACAGGAGTTGGGCACCCAAACCAAGAAGCAACTGCAGATCTGGAGGGTTTCGGGGTTGGTCTCGAGAAAACGAAACAAGAAGCTGACTCAAACATGTTTAAAGAGATAGGATTAGGATCTGCCATGGATCTCCATTTGTCCACCTCCTAAAAAAATGATGGATTCGTACCACGTCGCGGTATTTCGATGCAAATCACGATGACGTCAACAATCCACCACTTCCGCAATCCAATTCTCCTGTGCACTTGATCTTAAATGACCCATAAATGACCCATTCTCCTGGTCAATGTCGTTTGGAGTCCAACCTGGTTCTTCCACAAACGATTAAGTCGATTCCTGTGGCTCGGCTTGGCTCAGCGGCTCTTTCGTGTGGTCCATGTCTCCAGCTGGTTTCTCCATGGGTTAAGTGACCCCAAATAGGATCCTACTGGGGTACCTACGGGATAGTCTATAGGGTTCTTCAACCTCTGGTGGTCAGTTGGACCTTTGGATGACGAAATGCCAAGCAGCATTTCTGACAACACTGAGGGACTGCCTTTGAGGTTCTGAGGAGTACTCCAGGAGCTCTAGCTCTTGGCTTTCCAGCGCTGCACAAGGTGTTTCGGTGTCTTGTGCTGAAGGGAACCCCAAAAAAGTTCCAAACTCTGAGTTCCATCGAGTTTTCTGCGTAACGAACATGATCAATCTCCACATCCCCCGTGCTTTGCACTCAGATGGGCTATGAAAAATAACACTCCAGTGCAGCGACGGAAAAGTAGGCGGACGACCCGGGTGCCAGGCCTCGACCGTTCATGTGAGTTGCCATCGGGAGCGTATCATCAAAAGATTCATGTCACAATGTGTACGCTACCATCTACATAGTGCAACACGTAGTCATTTCCAAATCGGTCTCAAAAAATAGCTTTGCACCTCGAACAACACTTTCACAAAAAGGAGGCAAGCTTCAATCATACCCTCCACAGCCAGTGATTGCCGCTGTTTGAACGCCAAGCTCCGAAGCTCCCTTGAATCTCCAAAGACACCCGTTGACCAAGAACAGTTGATCATATGCAACTCCCCGTTTCAAGAAAACTTCCGGGAGTTGAAGCCTTCATGAACAGTCTACCATGACATGTCCCCAACAAACGTCCCAAAGCAGCCCGGTTGCCATCTGGTCATCAAGCTCATCCATGTCTTCGTGTGGCACCACATCGTCACTGGGCTCCACAGTGGTCACTGGAGACACCATCGCAGCCAGGCACGTGCCTCTGGACTTGGAGCTGGGATAGCTGGGCATGGGAGTGAAGGCATGGGCATGGGAGTGAACACTGTGTCCGATCAGTTGGGGGTGGTCTATTGTCGGGGTCTGGACGACTGGAGCGTCTGGGAGATGTAAATCCGGAGATGTCAGGAGCGGCAGGAGTATATTGAACTGACTATACCCCAAGAAGAACTGCAACTATAGGTGTATCCTCGCCCACGATTCCATGTAGAAGTGCACATCCTGAACTCTTTAGGAACGACATGTTTCGACGGACTCGTTCATTGATTCGTCAGGGATGTCAGGGACCGGTCAGAACCACATGCCTCGCTGTGTTCCGCACGGATGGGCTCGGGGCCTTGCAGTCTTCTCCGCAGACCACGGCGAGCTGCGCAGACCGCCAGGCTGCAAACCGGCAGACGGCTCGCCCACCAGGGAGTTTCACGCGCGCGGCTCGAGCGTGTTCTCAAGCTCCAGTGAGAAGGCGGTCTTGGGGAGCAGTATGGCCTCAGGTGTTTTTAGATGATGTTGAGGGACACAGTTGGCTCAGTTGATTCATTTCCAAGGGAGTGGTAGCTAGATGTAGCTAAGTACTATATATATATATATTATAATGTATGACAAACATCGTCAGTGCTAAACCCTAAACCCTAGCCATATACCCTAAAGTTCACCAGTGCTAAATGTTTGCATTTTGGATGATTGATGATTGATTTTAAACTGACCACATCGATGAAATTCCTGCCTATCGCATATGTAGGATCCCATCCCTTCATCATTGCGGTCTTCTGCACTCAATGATCCAACAGGAACCACAAGAAACGATCTTCCAAATAAAAAGCTGTGATAAGCTGTACAGACTGCTGTACAGTATATCTTCATCCCAGGATGCTCTTCCAAATAACACCATCCTCCCAAATGGTTTGTTCCATCCCCAGACTGTCGGGATTTCATCCCGACGGTCTCTGGGTCTTTCATCTGGCTGCCATGAGGCTCTGGAGACCCCTGAGCGCCAGCTGCGTGTCTCACGCGCCGCTGCCCGAGCACCTGGGGCTGGTCCGAAGCATCAATCGAAGGCACCGAGACAAGGCCAACCAAATGTGATGAACAATCACGGGGACATATGGGGACCCTTCTGGAAAATGGCATGGACAATGAATCTCCACATATCATATTGTAGAAAAATGTCTACAAGTATTGGCCCAACAAGAGTATTGCATGCAACAAGAGTATTGGCCCAACAAGTATTGTCTACAAGTATTGCATGCAAATGAGTTTGGCCCAACAAGTATAGCATCTTCCAGCAAACCAGCCTTGGCTGCGCATATCGCTCCAGCGGCAATCGCAAAAAAGCAGTGTTCAATAGCGCCCGAAAAGCGGTTCTCCCCGTTCTATGCCAAGAAACCATCATTGGTTTCTATCTGAATGGATTCCAAGGTTCATCCGAATGCCCTGTGAGAAATCTCTTAGTAGCGCTGCAAAATGGCGCAAGTGTTAACAGTTGACCCACTGATCCGCACCTCATCTCATCTAGCCGAGTCTCATCTAAGACTTCCCACTTGGCATCACGCAGGCTTGGTATCTGCAACGATGCCATGGCCAATCACCTTCGCCAAAACGACGCCATGGCCGGTCGTTGAGCACCTATAACGGCACCCGGATGTGTCGTTCGGTGGGGTGCTAGTGCACAGTCTGGAGCTTGATGCGGAAGCCAAACGGGTTTGTGGGACAGGAGCCCAAACGGGTTTGTTCTGTTCTGTAATGTCTCCAAGTGCAGTGCTCGAGCTGTCGAGGCGGCTGTACATTCCCATGAGTTCGCTGGTCTTAGTGATGAAAGCTGCTTCAGCGCTGACGATTCTACGGGTTGGGGTCGTAATTTGTCTTGCTGAAGACTGCAACAGGCCTTCCTGCTCAGAGCCGGATCTCTCCATTCTTCAACTACGAAGGAGCATGGACATGGCTACAGATTGTGACTACTTCAGATCTAGCAACCAAAGATCGATGAAGTTGTGATGGAACATCCTCTGCTGACTCCTCTGCTGATGCCCTCAACGATCAAAAGGATTCCATCAGCAAATCGTTGTTGCATAATGACTGGTAATGACATGCTGTCTCCGTTTGGACTTTCAAAAAACAAGAGCCGAGGTCTTCCAACACTGTTCGTGGACACGTCAACACGGTTGCATCATGGTTACATCAAGTATACACCAGGGGCCCCAGCAAACCATCAAAACCCTGGTTCTCCCTAGCAAAACACATGGTTTTGGTATGTGAATACATCTGTTTCTCATGGTTTTGAGTTTTGAGGGCCACTGGCAGACATCGGCACCGAATCTTCTCCCTGCCCTCCCTACCACCTGGACTGAACTGGCCTCGCCCTGGCCTACCTCCCGAACACCAAAAAAAACTGGGCATCCGAAACCGTTCGGCATGGGTGGTGGCACCCAAGAGCCTCCGCCCTGCGAGCTGTTGAGGATCGGTCCCACCAGACACGCAGACCAGACCCGTCACCGACATCTGTGGACAAACAGGTTGAGACATCGGTCCTCTGGTTTTTGCTTGGTGGTGCAGCTATCCGTTCAGGTCCTGGGTTGGGAAGCAATGGGAAGCAAAGAGTTGGATTCCGATGGGTTCTTAGGCCCTCTTCCTTTCGAAGAGTCTCGGTATCTATGGTGCGACAAAGAACCTTGAGAGGGTCTAATTCTGTGTGGATACAAGTCGATGTAAGCCAAGACTGAAAAAATAAACACACAAAAACACTAGATGACAGGGTCCTCAAGCTCTCATCATCTGATGGCTGGGTGGTACCTCCCGCCCCATCTGCTCAGCCCTTCGGTGTTCTCTTCGGTTGTCGCCTGTGGTGCCATCGGTGCAGCATAGACGCTGTTGGGACCCATTCCTGTGGGCTCCTGGAAGCTCGAAGAACGAGGACGCGGCTCGGAGCCACGGAGGGTTGATATAAGTACAACAACAAAGGATATAATAACCAGGGCCTGGACCAGGGGTGGTTAATGGACACCACGACCATTTTCACACCCCTTGGAGGGTTTAGGGTTTAGGGTTACACTTAAAATCTTAAAGGCTCCTTTGACTATGATCCCTTACACAATAGTGTACACTTATAATAAAGGATCATCATGTCAAGGGTTACACGTCAGTCATCGTCAGCCTGTTCGCTCTTGAGATGCCATCAAGGGATGCCGGCTCAGATAGATTTAGAACGACTGCCCGACTTCCTAGGTCACGAATCGAGACCTCAGAAAGGGCCTAACAACCTGTCACGAATCGAGACTTGTAGAGTCGGGTGCTGGTACTATAGTTACTAATTGGTAATATGATTGTTTTCAGTGTTTAAACTAAAAAACAATGAAGCCGCAGCTACAAAGGGCAAATTTCTCGAGAATGCACCAATGATGACTAATGAGTCTAGTCTGAGGTAATGATTCCTTACGGGCATGTCTCCCATGACAACTTTCCCAGTGGATGTGCAGAAACCTCATCAGGTTTCCAGGCCTTTCCCCCAAAAAGGAATCCTCTTTGACCGACAGCTAACTGCTGGGCACCCCCGAAACAGACCCCTCGATCCCGAACCCACGGCGCCGCGAGCGGCGGCATCGCCGTTCGGTTCGACGGGTCGACGTCCTGGGGGACTCCAGGCCTGGCCCGTCTGCGGCTCGCAGGGAGGGTGGCTGGATCTGAATGAATCCATCTGAATGCTATATAACGTAATTATCTATAGTGAGGGGCATGAATCCATAATAATCCATCTGGATGCTATATAAAGTTATCTATAGTGAGGGACTTAAGGGGTGATGCCCTGAATTCTCTGCTTCAACAGCATCGGAGGACTTAGGTTCCTTCGGCGTCGCAACCGCGTTCCCGCCGAGTCAGAGACGGTGTTTGCAGCGACCGCGCGGGGCCGACGGTGTTTGCATTGCGCGGCCCTCGTCATGGAGGATGAGTCTACATATCAAATGCTGTGGATGAGTCTACCTCGAAAAATGTATATGGGTCCATAATGTCCATATGCAGGTGACATAAGAAATACCATGACATCACTTACGTAACTCATGGATATGTATATATATATATATATATAACAATGGTTGGATAACAAATCCTATCAGCGATCAGGGCACAGAGTTTGCCGACAGGAGCATTCCAAAAGGTTGAGATCTGGCTGACCAGGTTGACCACATGAGCCACGACCGTGACACCAAGAGTCACGTCAAATCCATGACCCACACATCGGCCGAAGATGAATGACTCCTAGGTGATGAAACAATAGTTAAACATACTCCTTTCTGAGGAGTCCTTACCAGCATCACCCAGATTAATGATATTAATAACATCAATTACATGACTCATTATATGTATATCGGTTATTGGATGGAACATGCATCATCGGTGGGGGGGTCTATATTTCCTCCCCGAACTGGGTGGGAGCTGGTAGATTACTTGCACAATTTGATCAATCACTGTGGTCGGCTTCACTAGCCGTTCGGCACCTGAAAAAGAAAGAATCCACCTTTATTGTGGATAGAGAGTAGATGGCGCAAGTTACCCCAAGTTTGGTGGTTTATGTAGATTCCCGTCTGTCGGATAGACATGCAGGGGTGCTGCCATCGAGCCTCTGAAACCGCTGTAAATGACTGGTTGGCCTCTGAAGCCACGAACCACGAACCCCCACCGCTCAAGAGGTGGTTGCTTCGGGCCCCAAAAACCGTTGTCGCAGCCGGAGAGTTGGGCCTCAAAATGTGTCCAGAACCCTCCAAAAGCAGCCTTTTTCAGATGGATCTTATGATTCTTAATGGTGCGTATTTTTTCGAAGGAGTAGCTATGGGATCGGTCCCTTTCTGGGGGGATCCCGTGCGGTCTCATGCTGCACGCAAGGCGCTGAAGCGGACCTACTGGGCTCCCCCAACCCATGCAACTTCTGAAGGTCCTGGTGAAATCTCGCCTGGACCTGATTTCGGATAGGCCACAAAGACTGGTACGTAGCGTCGACAGATGTCGACAGAATGCGACTCAACAAACGCTTTTGGAGTCCAGGAGCATCCTTGCTAGGTATCTCCAGTGGACAAACAGACAGGATCTAAAGGTGTACAGTCCAGGACCATCCAATCAAATAGGTGTCTGGCTGGAGCCCCGCCCCGCCCACACGACATCCCGACATCTCCAGGGGCCAGGATGGTCAGAACATCGCATTTCTCTGTTCGGCGCTTGGCACTCACTTGATGTAGACTGGACTCTTGATTGATTCATCAAACCCATGTCATTTGGAAAACTGGAACCTTTTCATCAAACCCATGGAACCTACGTCTAATAATCAATTAGTAAAGAACCAACAAATCCCAATGACCATCCGGGTCACCTGTCTGGATGGTCACCCTGCACTACCTAATACCTACTATGTCCCACACGTCGGTCACGTCGGATGGTCGGACCGAACCTGCCATGGACCCAGACTGGAAGAGTATAGCTTCCTGGAATAGACTCTGGAGGTTTTCAGGTTCCTGCCGTGAATTTTCCAGGGGCTTTATCTGTTCTTTTCAAACATGGACCGGCATGGATTGGACCAGCATCCCGAGGTCAACGTGAAAGCGGAAGCAAACGAGACCCCGAACACATCATCTTTCTGACATCGGCATTATTGATGTTTAAACATGACATGTAAGCTAACCCAGCATGTATTTTTGTATGTGTCAACAGTCAACCCCTATGTTTTAATCATGATCATCGGACTGGTTCTTTGTTGTTTGCTTTTGGGGCCCGACCTCTGTGTGCTCCTTCTGCAGCTCGGCTTGCTTCTTGGCCTGGCAGCCGAAAACGCTCATGATTCTGTTTTCAGAAACGGGAGGTTCAAGGTTGCGGTGGAGCTGCCTATGATGCTCCAAATACATCCGCAGAATGTAGGGAGTGACCCTCCCAGTCACTCTACCTAAGTACCTTGTCAGGAGGTAGGTGGAGCGGAAGGGTAAGAACATGTGACATATGTGTGTGTGCGTTCCTCACAAGTGGACATATGCATTCTGTATCATTCTGTGCTAAGGAAGCAGCCATCTCTTCTTGCATCCTCTGCTGCTGGTACCTCTGTGCAGGAAAGGTTTTTTCGGCAAAACAAGGAGGGATGGGAGCAAAGTTGGGGTCCAAGTACAAAATCTGGGCAGAGTCAGTGATGTTAGAGGCTGTTGGAGGTTACTGCTTCGGGATTTACTGCCTCACTCTTTGCCCGAGCTTGGTGACCAGCTACTAGTCGCCCTCACTAAAGGAACACAGTGTCAAAACTGTTTGAGCAACACAGTGTCGATGGTCCTTCTGCAGCAAATCACTCAAGAGACTGGCGGCAAAAAGGATGATACAAGCAGCGAGGCCAAGATGCCAATGCATGATCAATGATCAATGTGCTGAATAGTTCTCAAAACCTCTGAAAAACACACCAACTTGCTGTCCTTCTATGCCACGACAGCGAAAAACCCCTCACACACACACAAAATAACATGTGCCATGCATATGCACCTGTCCAGCAAATGATAGATGGAGATGGGTCCAACACGAACACAACTTGGGCCATGAAACAAAGCAAACGCAGATCTTAAGGCCTTCCCTCCGCATTTGTTCAACCCAACCTAGCCACCCAACTCCAGAAATGGACGGTCCATTTCTCGATGTGCCAAGGAGGACCCAACCAGCCAACCAGCTCTTGCACAAGAAAATGGAACTCTCCAACTACTATCCCATAGCTCCGCTCTTGGTTCGTTCTTCAGGCACTCCATGGTGAGCTGCATGGCCTGCTGTTCCAGGGCGGCCTGCGGTCGCTCGTCCGGACGAGCCTGCGAAGGAAGGCAGGGGGGCCCCACGGACACATGCGACTGCCAAATGCCAAGCCCCGGTCTCAACCTTCTTCAGTGTTTTTTTTACAGTTCTTTCTAGAATGATTCCTTCACGAATTGAATCCCTTCACGCTCCAACGAACCTTGCAGGCTACAGAAACCCCTTCTCAGGTTGACGCCCAAACCTCCGACCTCGAACTGCCCGAACCATCCTAACCATCCGAACCATCCTTCCCTCCACCTCTGCGATTCAGATCCACCGAATTCACAGATCCCTGGTTCAGATCCGTTTGAACGACCTCCCCTTTTCCGCGAGGTTCGTTGGCACCAGGCGAGTCCGAGTTCGGTGAGGTTCGTTTTCGACCCGTGCGGGTGTCTCCCATGCCTTCTGCTGATGGTACTGCTGATTCAGCTGCAGGAGCTGCTGATTGTACTGCTGCGTGAGAGCCATCTCCTGGCGACAGTGTCGAGGGGTTGGACGGAACTGGTTCTTCTCCGGGGAAGACAGCGAGACCGCGAGACAGACGGCACCTGTCAGACAGAGACCAATGGGTGAAAACTCTAGCAGAAAGTACTTGAATACCTGGAACACTGTCTGTTCCAGTGATCCCAGAATATACTAATGAAACAAGAACTGGAATCCCGTGGATTCCTTCGTCACCGATCTCTTGGATCATTTTCTGTTTTTGGTATTTGGAACCTTCCACACTATTCCACACGTTACTCATCTAACCATACCTGTTACTCAATCATTTACTCATCTAACCATACCTGTTGCTCCGTCTGATCAAGCCGTCTGCTCTTATCCTCTTAAGATGGAGGCGTCCTCTGCGCGGAGGATGCCTTCATCGACACACCCGACTTGTCCATCAACATCTTCACTCAGTCTCTCCCACTCGCTCCATACATGCTCTCAACTAACGCAAGGCTTCTTTTCCACAAGCCAAGCTCGTCCAAGATCTTCTACTCACACAGGAACGCAAGGAATGCAAGGCCAAGCATATGGATGAGTCATGCCAGATTCTACAACCAGAGTTACCAAAGTCCACGTCAATGGAGACTCAAATTGCTTGCCACAGGCTAACTTGCACTCCAGCATGGAACCTGCTCTCTGAAGAGAACAATCTCACCTCTCTGATGGCTGTGGGTCATAGTGGTCAATGCATGTCAATACTCATGCATGAAAGCTATGGACCAACGTACATGAAACTGTCCTAGAGATGCTTCCAGCACCCCAAAAAGGGTCAAGACAAGCTTTCATCGATGTGAAATCTTACGGGAGAACATGCATGCGTCTTGCGTGAGATACCGGACATGTCCATGCAAACAGTCTTCGTCAGCCAAAGGCAAGGAAGTGCAGTGTCTACTCTAGCTCCTAGAGGCTCACATCCTAGAGGGGGTCAACTGTAAGCACGCAGGGTGCGACAGGATCTCCTAGCTGAGGATGCACTGGGTGAGTCTCATTGCCACTCCAACATGCACTCCATTTATACCTGAAAACTCAATCCATCGAAATTATATGTTGTTTCATATGTGCTTTTCATGTTGTTTTTTGTCTCTTCGGTTGTACCAAGCCACCGTCATCATTGAGGCCGACATCTACAGCTCATGGCTGTCAGCCCACTCCATGAGTTGACCGTGGGCATCGGAACCTGAGGCATCCGCGGCTGGCGTTTTTCAGCACAGCTGATTGAACCGGTAGGGCATCAGGTCGCTGGTAGGGCATCAGGTTGCCTCGAATCCCTGTAGGGCCGGTAGGGTCGAGTCCCACATCAAAGGTACAGTAGAACATGGTCTTGGGTTTTCTGAGGAGAGCGCGCTGAGGAACAACAAAACTAAATTGTTTCCTTCTTTGCTTCTTTCCTTCTTTCTTTCTTCCTTCCTTCCTTGCTTCCTTCCGCCAGGGTGTCAATATCCCTTTGGGGTTGTTTAGGTGCAGTGCCGTTCAAGGTATGAAGAAACAATTTAATTTTGTTGTTCCTCAGCGCGCTCTCCTCAGAAAACCCAAGTGGTGTAGGGCCGGCCCCCTGGTAGCCACAGGAGATCACAGGATCCTGACATTTTGTATGTGGGACAGCATCCCAAACAGGAAGCTCCAGGTAGCTCTGTATCATGGAGGTGCTGTAGGGTGCTTGGAGCCCAAGCAAATCCAGACTGAGCTAGGAGATTTAGGGTGCTAAGTCAATGAGCAGCTCAACTGTTTTCATGCTGATTAGCTGCCCCCCATGGAAGTGACCACAGCCAAACATACACCCAACATGGAACCTGATGTCATTGACCAGACTGGAAGACTATTTTCCTCTACAACCCAGTGGTTTTCAGGTTCCATGTTAACCTTCCAGAGTGTATCATGGCTCGTGTTGTGCCAGAATAGTACCTAACACATCCTAACAAGGGCCCGAAGAGAGGTGATGCCGGGGCGTTGATTCACCCAAGTGCCATGTGTCCTGGAAAAAGGTTGACCTTTTCCAATAAAATCTCCGCAGGGTCATGTCTATTTTTTTGTCCAAGGTCCAACGAAGAAACACTCCAATATCGTTCAGAGCTTTTGTCTTCATCCGAAGATTGCGCAGGGGATCAGGAACATGGTTCTGTTCGAAACTTCATGCCTCACACAAACTCGGACATCGCCCGAATCGTCAGACTGGTGCATCTTCTACTCCATGAAAACCGTGTCTCTTCCTCGCGCGCGAACCGTTCGGTGTGTGCTAAAAGGCTACTGGCCAACTCTTCTCTGGCGTTCTCCAGCTCTTCTGCAGTAGCCTGGTTGTCCCCATCCTGCCAGGAGTCAGAGCGACTCTGTCATCCGCCAGGCAGAAAAAATCTAGAAAATGCAAAACGAGCCACAACAAAAACAGCAATATAATGACGGTTGACTGTTACAGTCAAATCATATTGTTGGCTGTTGAATGTTGGGATTGGAACCGGAGAACAGTCATGTTCACGATTCCTTTTTGATTGACTTTCCAGAAATGGAAGATCTGGATGGCACATCTCCCAGGATGACCTACACAGGATGAGATGAGACGCATCGTCTCATGGCCGTTTCTCATGGATCATGTTGGTTCCAGTGGAATCCACACACGGAAGACTGCATGGGTGTCCTGCATGGAACGGGAGGCCCCAACTGCCCCAACTTCTCCAATACAACAGAGAACCAAATGACGAACCACTACCCAGTGGCGGACTAGTTTGAAGATATCCCAGATATTTTCTCTGTATGTCAGGAACTCTTGCCCAAACAGTGGCATATTGGCCTGCGTTGAACCCTGAAGCCACCCCAATGTAGGTAGATATGCAAGTCCTAATGAAACAACGATTCCAACACCATTCTGGCCGGCATCGTTTTTCTCGTCCCAAAATCTGATTGCTTCGCCTGGGAAGGAAGGAATGAGCTCCCGAGATTCCAAATCGGACCCAGCCACCCTCAGCCCACTGAAAGTCGCTCGGCGCTCAGAGGGTGCGGTGCCGTCCTTGTCCGCAATCTGAAGCAAATGGATCATGGCCTCATCGACCACGAGAACCACTCGACCGATTCCACGCGCGACACGACACGTCGCGTTTCGAAACGCCCGCCGCCCGTGGTCGCCGCGTGGCATTTGACGACACACGTGCTTAGCGGTTTTGCTGCCAAGGTACAGCTTCCGTGTGGAAGAGGCCCGACTCCCAGATGGCAAGCTCATCCATATCCAAGAGCCCATCACCTTCTTTCATCATGACCACTTTTCAGATGCGTGGATGGTGCGATCTGATCATCCCATCCAAAGGTTCCAAAGTAGCTGGTATAACGTGTTTTTTTCTTGATGTGAGACATTCATCTGCCACGTTTATCAACCAACCCAAATCACATAAACATCTTGACACGTCAAACGAGACCAAACCAAAATGGTTTCAAAAGCTTCGCGTCAGTGTGATGAGGAGGAGGCTGTCCTGTAAACTGCATTGAAACAGACCCAAATCAACATCCAACGACAAGTTTTGCTGTCGACCTCCAGCAAAATTTGTTGAAACACAAACGATCCAGGGACATGCATTAAACAAGAGTGAACAATAGTGAACATGTCCAGCGTCGAGATTTTCCCAAACACACGGGGGCATTCTGGAAAGTAGAACATTTGCCTCCCACCACACTCTCCCCAAAACAGGGAGCACCACCCCAAACATGGAGATGTCATCATCTCAGTGCTGGATCGTCTCTTTGCGGGTGTGAATATTCCCCTCCCTCATGCTTCCCAGCACCAAAACCGCCCAAAACCACCCGTGGGGCCCTAGGGCCGGTGAAACCTTTTTCACGGCTAAGGGTATCTATACATCCATGGCCCCTTATCAAAAGGTTCAGAAAAGGAGACTCCAAAAAGCACAGGGTGACCTGTCACAACTTGGACCAAGTGGCCGTTCTTGTCCAACTTCTTGAAGTCCTTCATCTCCTCCTCTAGCCTCTGAATCACGCCATTCAATCATTCAATATGCGAAAATAGCCTACGGCCCGAGGTACACCAAGTTATCAAAAGCTGCCGAATTCCCCAAATTAGATCATCCGCCCCAATACCTAGAGAATCTTGCAGTGTTTATTTCCGCCGTCATGACAAAACACACGTATTTTTTTGCGGCAATTGAAGAAACCCGCCGCTTTGCCAGCTGTGACTCGCTTTTCGCAAACTCACAAGAACACACCACTCACTGACAGGACGCAAAAAACGCAGGTGTTCACACGTGGCAAACCATGGACGACATGTCCACGCTGCATGGACAAACACGTTTGTTTTTTTACGATGCCGGCCCCAGACCTCAGAGTTGAGAGACGAACTCGTCGCAAGCCGAGTCGAGTCCACACCGCAAGTCGACTCAATGAGATGAGTCGACGGCAGGTCGACACAAAACCGCCCGTTCTGAACCCTGAGCGGCATCAAAATGTCCATAGTGGAGTCTGTAGGTATAAAGATGTATAAAGACGGACTCCTGGCCTGATCTTCCATCCTGATTCGAGCCCACCACGTTGTTTTTGGTGCTGATTTTCAGGGCGTTTACATGCCCTTTTTGGGGCTCCTGGTCCCACATCCGAACAGAAGCAAGCTAGTTTGGACAGCCAACCGCCCCACCCACCCCACCGAACCCCACACTGCCACCGAACCCCAAACGGATGTGAGACCGCCCCGTTCCACACCACGTGGCTGAAGCTTCTCGTCCTCCTCCATCGGCTTGGTCCCCTCCACGTTCCTTGCCATGCGGCCGAGGTGCGGGTGTGGTACCGGTGCTCTTCACAAACACACGAGGACCGTGGTACTCGTGGTCTGGGACTGGAAGAGGTGCCTAGAACCCCATCAAAAAGAGGTATGGCATACAGAATTGAACATATGGCATACACAAGTGATTGGTGGAAACAAATCATCCAACGCCAGGGGCTGTTTCACCCGCAGCAGTTCTAGGGCTAAAAAGGTGGAGTCCAACATAGGTCGGGCTGGACATTGGACCATTTTCTGCGGTCACCAATCCTGTACAACTAAACTTTAAAAACGCCCAGTGTGGTGGTGTGGTCAAGTGTGCTGCTGCTGTTCTATCGGATGGTCTTGGAGATGAAAATACTTCCTGAGAATGGTCTTTGAGGCCAAAGGACATCCGATTCGGATGGTCCTGGACCTTTAGGGCTACCAACCAAGAACTGGATAGCAATCAGTGAACAGCTGCCACTCTTCGTCTCACTGAAGTCCTCGTTTGTTGGCCAACATTTCTCTCTGTCCCACGGTGCTAGTACCCCCTCCACTAGTGAAAACACGGAGCAGATGAACACAAACGTCCCAACTGGTGCTGCTCCACTGTCCAAACCGGCTCGCTCAGGTTTCTCCAAACGCTTGCCTATCCATGCTGTGCGCTTCTTGCCTCCAGCATCCATCCAAGAGAGGTTAATAAGTGACACTTTTGAGACCCGTAACCTGAGCCACCTATGGTAGAGCCTATAGTAGGATCCTTCAACCTCTGTTGGCTCTTCGGACAGCCATCCACCTATCCACCTATGTCCACCCCGTCCACCCGAAAGCGTAAAGAGCGTCACTTCTTCGGGATCCTCCTCGGCCTCCGCGAACTCCTTGAAGCTCAAGCGGCCGTCACCTGCCGGCGGCACCGCGCCCACCGTTCTGCAGTTATGGCGACCCGACCCTTCTGTCAGGCTCGGGTCCCCTGGCTCGCCGTCGGAGATGTTTTATTGGTGAAAAGACTCATGAGGTGAAGCGTCTTTTTGGTGGAAAGACACGAGGAACGAAGCTTCTTCCACCTGTGGGATGAAGCAGTAAAGCAAAACGCGTCCCCTTTTCTGTGCGGTTCCGTCGGGTGATCCACCCTTCCTGTGGTTCGTGCCGGGTCAACGTCAAAACGCGCGGGGGAACGATGATGATGATTCGATCTGAGTTGGTCTATTGATGAGCGAGTATCAAGTCGCTCAGATGAGCTCTATGAGCTCTGGACATATGGCATCTGCCCCAAGAATAAACGGAACTTTACCAAGGGAGGGGTAATAGTGCAATGATCAACTGGGTTGCTTTGACAGAGTTGCACATGTCTGGCAGTGGTCAATGAAAGCATGGTGCGAGGATCCCCCAGCCATGAAGACTGCAATTGAAGGCACGTGCCCTACAGTACCTGTGGGTTGTTGCAAGCGCACTGGTTTATCCACAACCACGTGCATTCAAACAATTCCTATTTTGGGAACGGCTGAACACATGTGGCCATGTTGCATATTGAATGGGAAGTGGAGGAGCAAAAAGTCGCATGGCGGGATAAATAAACCATTGGTTTCTTCAACTGAACATTCAGTAGCTACCTGTAAGAACACTAAGAACATCTATATTTTAAATACAGGAAGATGCCATGGCTCAGTCGTTTTGGTTCCTCTCTTTTGGACCCCCTCATCATGACAGTTGGGTTCCTGAACTGAGAAAGCAAACCAGCAGAGAACGTGTCTCCCAAGTGTCAGGTGGCCTTTAGTGTAGCTACAAAGCCATTGGGCCATGCTCCTCAAACTGGCCAGGGAAAACGAGTAATAGTCCGAGGTATAAACGCCATAGTCCCACGTAACGCTGAGACGCCATCTGTGTCTTTGTTCTTCATGGTCTCTCCGACGACCACGCGTAGCACTGCAGAGTTCGTTTCCTCGGGTAGCACTACACCCATTGACCCGTGACACGGTTGGCATTGAAAGAGCACTGGTTTTTAACTCAACAAGTGGTGATTAAAAAACCAGAAACCACGCCAACAGAAAGTTTTAGAGGTGACACAATGAGTGGGAACCATTTTTCACAATATCTAATGATCTGGCGGATCCTGAAATTTGGGCAAGTGCTGTTTTTATCATTACAGTTGATTCACTTGATCGTTCAGATCAAATCTACCTGCTTTTGGGGCCCCAGGCCTTTTACAGAAAACCGTCCACAGCGTTGTTTTGTCTTTGATTGGCCAGGCGTCGGGGTAGAAGAGCGAGGCGACTTCCTGGGAAAGTGGGGTAGTCGCGTGTGAACATCGGCGGTCATGTTGAATCTTCATAAATACCTCCCTATAGGGATCCAGTCGTACCTTCTCCTCAGAAGGGACCCTCCTGGCACCTACATGTCTCAGTGTCTCCTTGCTCACCGTACCTGAGGTTCGGTACGACTGGACCCCGATGGCCTGAACAATAAACAAAAAACAGGGCAGAATCATTGGCAGAACACCTCTTCTGCCGTCTACTTCGTTGTATGGACTGACCAATTCTTTGGTTTCCAAGTTATGCACTGCTTGGCGTGTGGGCCTGTGACCCTCTTCGTCTTCAGTCGCTCTCCTGAGGACTCAAGACTTCGTCGTGGTCGCTGTCAGCCGCTTTGAACTTCGCTGCCTCCATGGCCTTGCGAAGCTCCAACTCTTTCCTGAGAGATTTCTGGACAAAATCTCACCTATACAATTGGCCAGATATGTTTCAGGATTTTCCGGTCAGTACAGGTTAAATGTGTTTCATAAACTCCAATTGCAGGACCGAAATGTTGGGTGGAGAATGGACACCCCGAGCTCCAACTCGGGGCTTTGCGGGCGGCATAGTCATTTAGTAGTGCTTTCAGAGGTTCGATGGCATAGACCCCAAGATGTCCTAGACAGATGAGTGTCCATTTTTCAATCACCAAACTTGGGCATTTTGTCATGTACTCATATCTGCTCTGAAACCTCTGTATTTCTCACGAAATTAGGCCTTGGAGGCAAATGTTGTCAAGGTGTAGGGAAAGTTAATCAGCTGGCTTCTGAGTGGCCTTGTCAACCATTGTTTGAATTTTGAATATACCCTGTATATGGATCCGCTGCGAACCTCTCCAAGTACCGAACCTGAGAAGGTGGCAGTGGATCCCTAGGGAAGAGGAAAGAAGAACCTGCAGAAAAGCCTTCCTGGCTTAGTTTCGGGCACATCTGATGCGATAGTATGAGAAGAGAATTGCCGTATACGGCGATCTGTGATGCAGTTCCACTTTCATATGTCCACCCAAAGATCTTCTGCGAACAAAAATCTTCTTGCTATCTCAGCCATGTGAAACCACTTTTAAACAATCGTATGATGAACACACGCACTCTGAGGGGTGTCCCCTTCTGTTTAACAACTGGTCGTCCGTTCCTGTGCGGACGACGCTTACGCTTGGTCGTCTGGATTTCACCGGATCGTTCTGAAACCCCGGAGCTTGGTGGTGGGATGGCGGGATTGAAAGAAGTAATCACTTATGTTGGCTGCTAAATACCAGCCAACATGATTTGGGCATAACAGTGTAGAACACTGGCTCCTTTATGACCCATCCAAACACTTCGCCCATGAAGTTGGGACACCACGGCGTTGGGACGAAGGAGCGGTCAAAACCACCGTGGAACGTTGGATGTCCGAACCGGTCTGAAACCAGGAATCGACATGAAAATTCTGTGCGCAGCTGGGAGACATCTCCTCTTCATCCTCCTTGTCCGCATGACGATGAAGATCATCTAAGTGTTCCTTCCTACAGTCGAGTCGGAGTGTTTGCTTTTTGGACCAGGTGGATCCAAATTGCAAAGGAACAGGGGGAAGTTGCGACCAGGAGCAGTGTGGATCCCCCTACCTCAAAATATCATATATACCAAATGTAGGAAGAACCTTGCATTCAGTAACTCTCAAGACATTGAAGAAAAACCGAGAAAACCACCGTCTTGAAGTCCCGTCTTGACCCTCGTTGCTCACGAAGTATCTTGGCCATATTCTCTCATGTTCTGAGTTGGAGCTTCTTCATCGCTTTTGTGGGATGGCAATATGGCAAACGAGTCGAATCCACGGTAGAGTCTCACGTCACGTCTCTGGCGTTTCAGATGAGAAAATGCTGCCCTTTTGGTTTTGAGTCACATCCCGCTCTTCTATATAGCTATCCTCCAAACTGGCGAAAAGCCAACTGGAGCCCTTGCCTTGCTTGGTGCCTTGCATCCGATTTGTTTGACAACACTGTCCGGATCGGACCCGAGAGCTTTCTTTCAGACCCGAGATGCAACGAAAGCTTTCCATCCTTGTTGGTATCAATTTCTTCCAGGATGGCCTCCACATCTCGTCCTCCAGATCGCGGAGATCGCGGAGATCTCGCGAATCGCGGAGCCAATGACCCCGATACAGCACAAGATTATGTGGGGGATTCATGATTCAAGTAGATTCTATATATATACCCTAGAAGTCGAACCACCATTGTTTTAATAGCCTTTACGGAACAACCATTGTTTCACTAAGGGTTTTACACTACAAAACCAGATCAACCATTTTTAAAATGGTCTTTGACTTCCAGGGTATAGATTCTATATATGAGTTATATATGCATTATTTTAATTACATCATCCTGGTGTCACTCATGAAATGTGGATTGAACTTGGAATTCAATCAAACGTCTTCAGCAATTGTTGTTTTCCTGGAAACAAATCACCTCGCACCACCGCTTCATCACCCGATTCCGAGACATGCTGAAGGCGGGAGATCTAGCGTAAGCAGGCGGCCGGACTTTTGAGCACCTGTACGTTCCCGATCAAAGAATCCATTCCAAATCGCGTTTTCGCACCACGCCTGCAATGGCCTTGCTCATGTGGCTGGCAAACTCCAGCACTTCTGCCAAGGAGACCTGAGGATTTCCCGTCCACACGGTCCACAAAATGTCCATATGGGGATAGGCAGGTGTTCACGCCTTTCAAGGCGAGTGCATGCGAGTGCATGAGTCGTTTTGAGGGTATTGCAGTGGTCTCTCACAGCTTACCACAAACACTGGCTTTCAGAGCGATTCATCTTGGAGTGAGAAAAGGTGATCTTTGGCTCGACCATGATGTGTGTGTGTGGGCATGTGCGCACACAAGGTCTCTTGGACACGTTTGATCAACTTATCAATGACATTAATAGCATTGAACACATCGCGCTTTTACGAAACATCGAGTTTCTTTGAAACACATGATGTTTATGCAGGGGGTCTACGGTTTTACAGTGTCCGGTTGGTTTAGGTTGGATTTGCAGTGTGTCTCCTATTCCCTGTCACAGTGGATCACCGCAGACGGACCACATGGGAGCCCTGATCATGAGGATTCACCTGTGGTTTCGACCATTTTCCGAAGACCACCTGGTTTTGGGGGTCCATGGTGGTCCTCTGCAGGAGGGGTTTACTTGTTTACCGACGTCTTACAGGTAACAGGACACCCCCCAATATAGGAATATCGGGGGCGCCAATTGAGTTCTCGTGATATCCCGAAATCGCGCCCTCTTCGGGCATCGAAAGAAGAACACAACAAACATCAGGAGGCTGGAGGTCAATAGAGAATCGTCTACCACATGTCTGCTGACCAGTATAATATAGGACTGCTGGATGCGGATGCGCAACTATATACCAGCCCTCACAGCAAGACCAAAGCCAAAAAACTTTGCCATCGTGGTTCTTGTCGAACTTGGCATGAAGTGCTCTGAGCTTCTCTTTGCTTATGATCTCCTGAGGAAGGACGCTCATACTTGGTCTACAGCCCTACGGCTCTCCGATTCGATATGGGCTTCAGTCAATTGGCCGTAGCCTCGCTCGTGTCTGTTCCTCGTCTACCCTACTATCTGCCCTTTGTGTCTGTTGAGAATCCTCGGAGTGAGACTCTCTTCCTGGCTTCGGTTCCTCCAAAAACAGTCCGAAGCTAAGTATAGTCAAACACCCGTTCAACATACACTTGTTCTCATCACATCCTCTTCGCTTCGAGACCATGCTGCACCAAGCTTGAAAAGCAAGAGACCTCCATGCCTCTCTGGTTTCCCGTCTCAGCACCCCCAGACCCGCCGGACCCAGGTCATCCGGGTCCACCGGGCGCTTGGCGTCCTCCTCGTCGGTGGGAGGGTCATCCTCATGGCCCTGGTCCGGCTCCTCGTCCTCGCCCGTGGCGCTCGCCCGTGGCGTGAGCCCCAAACGGCGCGTGCCCGTCGAAAGCGGGAGACGTATGTAGCGCCCGGTGGGTGGTGGTTCAGAGGTGAAAACAAAAGCCAAACAAGAATAGACTCTTCAAAACAAGGTTATATATATATATACAGTAACAGCTATTGACAGGAAACATCAACTCTTGATATTGGATGTACTGTATATGGATGTCTACACTCAGATGTTTATAGATGTTTCACATCTTTTGGAAACAGTTCGATCTATGTCTGGGGCACTGTGGTGACATAGATGGAGAACTTGGTAAGAACAAGTCGATAAGTTGTCTAAGGCAAAAAGAAGGGTGGAGATCTGTAAGTTGCAGCGTTAACATGTGGGGGGTTGCCCAAAGATACAGATTGACCCATCATGATAGAATCCGACTAGGATTTGAGCCAAGACTTCTTATAAATATGTTGCTTGTCTTCTTAAAATCAAGGAGAATGGACCTCTTGCCTGACATGTCTCGACATCTTTGTTTTGGAAAAAAAACACAAAAAAACAATCAATCTATTTGTGACCCAAAAAAATACGTGTATTTATGTCTATGGCCTGGAACCCCAAACAACCAGCAACAAAGATTGCGGTCTGTGCTCCGCGCCGAACAATCGAAGGGCTCCTCCTGACATCTCACTGGCCAGGTCAGCAGAAGGGAACCAATCAAAAGCGCGAATCGAAGACCGGCCATGGCGAAAGCCAAGGAAGACTGACTGACAGGGTGTCTTGAGATTTGAATCTGAACTCTTTAATCAGAAAGCATCAATTCTTTTGTGATGAAAGAGCAATTGGCTTCTTCAGAGCGGGATGTGGCATCAAAACGTGGGAGTTCGGCACTTTATGGGAGTTCCAAGCTCTTGAACTTTGGACTGCGGAATCCAAAGCAAACGGGTCACCGGTGATCAGCAGGTGTCCCCTCCCGCTTCGCTTCACCGGGAGCTTCCCAACTCATCCCCGAGCGAGCTGCTCGAAGACCGGCGATGTTGGTGATCACATGGCCGCCACGATGGCCACGTTCAGAGTGGGTTGTTAGGGGCGGACTTAAACACATCATGCATTGTTTGGAAGGGATCGACATCAGACATGGATCGACTACAAAATCTGGTTTTGGGAACCGATTCGGGATAGTCATGGTCCCCCTTCCAATCTCCTTTGAGATGAACCAAAGGGAGCCGACCGAATCAAGACCCGACTGTGCTGTAGAAAATCCACTCATACACATTGTATTGACTCTTTGAGAACTTGGAGAACTTCACATGAGCCTCTTTTCAATGCCGCCGAATGTTGCAGGATCGCTCTCATTTCGGCTGACCTGGGACCTCACCTATTCTTACGGCACGTGGAGCCACCACATATAATCTGAGCCCAAATGTAGCGAGAGGTTCATCAAATCGGTGAACTCGTTCACCGCCGCGACCACGCCGGGATTGGGCGCGTTGTAGTCGTGGCCAGCCATGACACCACCGGGGCGGACTTTGGGCCACCAGACCTTAAAGCTGAAATCTCCAGGAAGCAAATTCCAATGAGTGATCAAAGTTACAAAAAGTGTAACGTGTTCACTTTTTCTTACACAACATGATTAAATGATGTTGATCATTTTTGATCTATTTTGATACTTGGTAGAAAAGTTACTAAGATCAAATTCAAATGTTCCAAAATGTTCCAAAAGCATCCCAAAGGTTCCTATTCCTGGGGGATTTCACCAAACACTGAGGCAAACATGAAGTCACAAACCCAAAAAACCAGGACGAACGCCCTGCCGAATGCCGAAGCAACCCGGAGGTCCAGGAAGACATCTTCATACGCATGGCTGCCATCCACGAAGACGAAGTCCACGAAGCCCACGAAGCGCTCGGCAGCTTCGTTGGAAGGCATCTGCCAGAAGGTGCTTTGATTCCTTGGGAGAGTTGCTTTTATAAGGCCGGGGGAACCAAAAAATCCCAAGTTTGGGGATTTACCCAGTTCGGGAACAAAAAACAAATCACCTTGAGCAAAAACCATCAAAAACCAGGATTCTTGAACCTCTGCCGCAAGAGTTTCATTTGCGGCTTTGCTTGGATGTCGACCGAGAGCAGCTGCAGGCATGGCACACTTTGCAGTAGATGCGAAGTGGTTTGTCCAGAGCCAAAGCCAATTTCCACCGCGCGGGGGCAAACTGGGTCCCGCTTCCCCCCCGAAATGGCTGAACGCTGGGCGAACTGCTTGACGGTTGCTTGCAGTAGTTTTCGAACTAGAGCGCCGCGAAAGAGAAACTCCAACTTCATCTCTTGAGCACTGTGATAGCTTGCCCTGGTGACCATTTGCTTCCCCCAGGTAGCAGCCACAACACCTGCGTAGAGGTGGAAAAATGGATCGACGGCCTTTGCCCGGAAAGCTCGAAAGGCCTTCGGAGAGAGCTGAACGGAACGATTCCACACGTCACTCGGAACCTGAATCAGCCTTCGCCCGCCCTCTCGCATCAAGCGAGAGCCGTCGGTGAGGTTGTCCAATCGCGACAGAGCACGGGCGATCGAAGTGCGGTATCTGGCACAGAGTCGGCGCACGTGAAAGGCCTCCGTGCGCGAGTTGACTTTCAACTTCCCCTGGAAATAGCGTCTGGATTTTGGAAAAGGGCGCTCGACGACTGGATAGGAAAAGGAGGTGAAGGTGCTGAATCGTCCTGAAAGCAAACCCTGTAGGTTCGCATAGAAGCTGATTATAGCATCATAGACCTCATCTAGCAGCTGCTTGCTTGAAGAAGGCGTAGGCCACACTCCGAGTACACCTTTCCAATCAGGCTTCCAGAGGTCGTCTTTCACAAAGAGACTTTCCCGCATGACTAAATCTTGGTGCATCCAATGGACCATTGGTACTTCATCTTTTTCGTTGTTAATGACAACGACAGCGCCCACGGAACATGCCCAAATGACGGGTGACAGCACGCGCATAGTGCCCTTAAAGCCGTCCGGCCGTCGACAGAAGCGAGGAGTGGTTTTATACCAAACACTCCTCGCTTTCCGCAAAGGTCACTTGGCCATTCTGGACTCTAGAAAAGAACAGGTTTCCCCTTTTGAGGTAGAGAGATGTTCCATGATGTTCCGGTAGCCTTCGATACTAAAAGGGGTTCCAAACTGGAAAGCTGTCCCAGCAGTCACAAGACAGGGTGCCGGTTCCGTTCGGAAGGAAGTCGGGGTGCCCAGCTACACATCCACTGCATGGGACGAACTAAACCACCTAGACTCTTGTGACTCCTGGTCCTTTGCCTTCGAACTTCATGGCTTTGGTCACGAGATGTGTGTCTTTGGCTTTTTGCTTTGGCCCGTTGTTCCGGCCGTCGGATGAAGCTGCCGGAGGTGAACCACCGGACTGTGCGGGACGAATGACTTAAGCCGTGTGTTTTGTAATAGCCGGTTTCACTTGGATGTCTTCAACTCGCGACTGGCACCAACAAGAACAGGAGTCGTTGATAGAAACTCGCAAGCCAATGGCAGCAGTGGTTCTTGCGTTTCTTGGCTTCGTCGTTTGGTCGTTTCTGCTGCTCGTCCCACACCTGACCGACGACTGACACTCCTTCAGGATCCTTGTTTTTTGGGAGATCGATGGCTTCAAATGGCTTCAACATGCTTCAACAGCAACATCTGAAAGGCTCGGAAGAACTGTGCGGGCTAGGTCCGACCGGCACGTTCTGTCTGTCACGCTTTCCGAAACCAACCACCCCGGAAGCAGCATGTGACAAACCTAGTGAAGCCAAGGTATGATGACTGAAAAGAAGATGTTAGATGGTGTCACGGATCTGTCTGGCAACGTCTTTCGATCTCTTTACAGCATAGCCTCTTTTGTTTGCAGGGTCTGTGCCATCTCTGAAATGGGGGGCGCGAAGGAGGAGGGGTTGCAAACTCAACCCAACACCTGATCAATGAGATTCAAGATGATTCAAGTGCCCCCGGGGCACTGAATGATCCTTCTCTATGGATCCACATACCTTCTCAAAAAGTATGACTGAGGCCCTCCGGGCGCCTTCATAAATATATAGTATCCAATCGAATCCATAAGGCTTTATGTTAAAACTGTGCATTCTACGCCATTCTTCTCGATGGCCGACTGCGGCCACTCGCTTCTAGTATGCCATTCTTCGGCCACTCGCCACATCTCCCACCGAAACTCGGTCGCCTTTTATCGCCCGGTGCGACGAAAACGCAACGCGAGGCCTGGCCTCTTTGTTCACCGTGGTCTTTGACGGTGAGGATGGGTGAAGGCGGCGCTAGTGAAAGCACCGGCAGTGTCTGAAAACGTGTTGTTCGTGTCCCAAGTGACGCTGGTACTCTGGAGGCAATGGGCCAATGACCACCAAATACTGCCACGGAACCCATTCTGTAGTTGTTATGCGTGTTGTCTTATCTTGAGCCTTTCGTACGTACTTTCTTGCAAATTTATGCGACCCAAGATTAACAGCACGGACGGGCAACAATGGAGACTTAAACTTTTGATGTTGAACAAAGACTCAATAATGTAATTAGTCAAAGCGGCCCACCAATACTGGGCTGGTGCATTCTGAAGGACTGAAACCACCGACCTTGGCACCAGGTTGGTATTGATTCAAGCCAGACAAGACATATCGTCAAACCAATAGAAGCCCCCTAGTAGAGGAAGTATACGTCTCCATACAATCCACATGCCATCCGACAACATGTGGCAGCGAGAACTGTCACTGTTACTTGTATACGCTTTGAGGGATCACATTCCTTTGACCGTGTGGGTGCATTGAAAGCCGTTTGTTCTCCGAACGGTGGGTGTTGCGCCTGTTTTCGTGGTTCCACGAGCCTTTGGGATCATCTCTCTCTCAGACCCGACCAGCATCTCTGTCACCAGCGACCAAAGCGCCAACCATCTTGGTCGTCGCATTCCAAACCAGCGATTCACCCAACGGTTTTTCAGCAGTCCATATCTGTCAGTTGGCCACTCTGTGAGAAACGACATGAAAACTGAAGAACCTGTGTGGTTTGATGCAAAAAATGAGAGCTGTGTGGGTTCCCAGTCTGTCGTCAGGCAAGCTGAACGACTGTGGTATGAATTATGTAACGGTTGCGGATTCCGCACGTGAATCAGTGGTGGTGGAACTCGGCCGGCATTGCTTGGGACTGGCAATCCGTGTAGTAACCGGAGCCAAAACAAAGCTGGTGGGATGTGGGACAGGAGCCCAAAAGGGAGGCTAGGACTGAGTGTGAAGGGAGCTTTCGGTATGCCGGACTTGATCCCCACTAGCTGACTAGCAGTGGATGCTACTCGTTGCTATCAACTGCTCACGGGAGCGTTGCCTCGTCACATGTTCTCTTATAGACTGCTGAACCCGAGGGTGCCAACCACCTCCACAAGGTCGTCGGCAGGTCTGTCACAGCGGGAGAGTGTCTGAGTCCAAGGTGTTTTCCTGAGCCGCAAAGTTTTAAAGGAATGATCAAGCAAGCAAAAGCAAAGTTAGAAAGTAAACCAGGGGTCACAAAGGGGTGGTTTTTAGATGTTTTTAGTCCCTAAGTGAGTGGATAATGGGCACCCCTAACCTCCATTAAGCACCCCTTTGACTGCTGGAAGAGAGTAATGAAGTACACAAGCCAGGATCAAAGCAAACTTTGTTTCACCAGTTCACCTCCCAACTTCCAACATCCATCCATTCCCATCCGCACTGATCAAGGAGTGGATTTGGATGAACCACCCTACATATATAGGCCGTGTGCAGAGTTTCATGAATTTACGGGTACAGTACGTAGTGAAAGGACTAGTGAAAGGCATTGTGAAAGTTTCAACATTGGAAGAAGTTGGCCCTTTCAATAGCCCCTAGCTGATGACAACTTTGTGGAGTAACTTCTTTTAGATCAGAATCTGTCAGAATAGTATATAGTTCATGAAGTTCAAGAAGACTTGTTGAATCAGTCATGTCATAATTGTTCACTTTTCCTTCACCCGCTGTCATGGGTGCTGCTTCTCTGGTCTGAAACCCAATTTACGAAGTCGATGTGTCCAGAGCTCAGAGTCTTTCTTCATCACTGGATCTCCAGGGGACGCGGTTCGAAACGCGTGGAACACTTCGGAGAAAGGAGGCTCAGCTTCTTGTTCCGTTCGTAGCCATGGTCTCCAACCTACCTACGCGATGGCCTCCACCGAGAAAAATGCGTCCGAACACGACGTTCGTAGCTTCTTGTTCCTAGAACTGAAAGGAAGCTCCCAACGCCTTCAACAGTCCCATGAAAGAGGCATGTTGATGACACCAATCCACCGACTTCACTATCCATTCCCAGCTCGCTTGACCAATGTTGATGTTGTGGGATTTGCCTAGCCGTCAAGGACCTTGTGAATGATTGGGAATGACCTGGTTTTGTCGTGCAAAATCCTTAGTAGAACAAGTAAGAAGGGTTGTTCGAAATTCGGGTTATTAAATCAATGATGGGCCACTAATCCTAGGTCTGGGGCACACTGGGGTTCATAGTGTTGCCCTCCACGATGTGTAGAACCATAGCTGCAATTCCATCACCATGTGTACTGTACTTTAATGACCATGCGATTACGCTTAGTCACAACCTCCACTTAGCAATGGAAAACATATGAATTGCCCTCTGAATGTGATCCCTAGACTTGACCGTTACAGTGCATACTAAGTCAAACTCATATTGGAGTAGTCTCTTCATCATGGCAGTTTTATGGGACTTCGGGCTTCGAAATTCCATGCTACCAGCTCAAGGCTCTAGGTCTAGGTGTGCTTAAGAAGCTTCGGGATACCGACCCACATGGTCCCCGAAGCTAAGCGGCTCGGTACAAATCCAGGTAAGTCTCTCTCTGCCTCTCCTCGGTTCACGAGCGAAGTGAGAAACCGATGAATGACAGGCCTTTTCCTCGTGCTCCCCTGGTTCATTCTCAGGAGGGAAACCATACAATCCCATGCTTCCGCTAAATGCATCTAAATGCTTGCACAGATCTCTTCCATCCCCGACTCTCAGAGGAAAAACACACTCCATCCAGATTTTTGCTTCAGTGCTTAAGGCTGGGCCCCGTACTCCTGGCCCTGTCTGTGCATTTGCAATGGGCCTCCCACCCACATGACCCATCCAATCACCCATCGTGACTGCCATGAAACCAGGTTCTTCATTTGTGCATATAGACCCCAGATAGATAGAACAGTAAATCCCCACTAAAAGTGTTATTGGAAGCCGTGCCACTACCTATTTGGGGACCCCTATATTTGTTCGAAGTTCCACATGCTTCCTCCGGCCGTTTTCACATTTTCTGCACCGCTTCCGCACAGTTCTTCGGTCTCACGCAGTCCGAGGACATCGGGGGAGACTGGTCTACAAAGAGGTGGTGAGGAAACCAAAGCGTGTGATGTTTATACGTTGATCAAACCTCGCGATGTGAACGTATATTATATTGAACCGACTGCATCTTGCCAAATTCTTGTTGTGCTTTGGGTTGATCTAATCGCCCACGCCCATGTTTCATCTCTCCTCGACAACTGCTTGTCGCGCCTCCCTTCAGCCCAGACTCTTTCAAGTCACTGCTCCCACCCAGGAGCAACGGCCTCCGCTGTGCGCGCTGCGCAGACAGCCGACGCTTGCTTCGCTTGTAGGCCAAGAGGTAGTAGAAGCCATCCCAGGTCCTCAGATGGCGCTCCAAGGTCAACCCACAGATGTCAGTTTTGAAGGAAACAAATCTCTTGGAGGCTTTCCCTCCTGTTCCTGCGGGCTGCGTAGTACAGTAGTTGAGCTACAACAGCATTGAAAGGGTTTCCCTCGGAAGACTTCGGAAGCCAGTCATCAGGGTCCTCAAACCTCATTTTCGCATAGGAATCTCAAGAAACCCAGGGACTTCATGTGGCTTTATCAGTTGCGCCCTGGTGGTTGTATACCTTCAACTACTAGTACTGAAGAAGAAAAAAATACGGTCACCGGTTCACCCAAACTCTGAGTAAAATGTTCTTTTGCAACATGGTCAACGCGTGATATGATCATATTAATGGTTTGTCGGGTTCATAAGATTTAACTTATAGACGATTGGTCATGATTGGTTTATGTATGATTTTTGGGCAGGGGTGGTCTCCGAGTCTTCATTTCATGGCACACTTGTGTGATTCTCTCCTGCAAAAGGGGGAATAAGTTGCTGGATAAACTCTACAAACCATACAGGACAAACCAAATCCTTTATCCATACTCTTCTCACATGCCACAAATGCGTTTCACATATTTTGACATTCAGTACCATTGCTTTGGAGTTGCAAATAGTCAGAAAGGGGTGCGATCCATGGAGGTTAGGGGTGCCCAGAACATTCACTCACAGGATGGGACTAAAAACCACCCCTTTGTGACCCCTGGACACCAATGGTTTGAATTCATGGTCTGAATTCCCCAGGTGAGCGGCTCAGGTGAATTCTCAGGGTTTCTCTGGGAGCTTCCGCTTTAGCTCTGCGCGGAAGGGGACGTACACTCCCGATGTCACTCACATGGACTGATGTCCTCTAGCTGCACCAGTGGCTTTCAGGTCTCTTCCAGAGTGTATCATGGCTTGTATGACAAAATCACATCTAACCAAGGGCCCCTTCAAACAGAGGTGATGATATATACACCCTACCCTAAGAATCCTTGGGCTCTCCATGGCAGGGGTCGGACCCTCCATAGCAGGGGTCCGGGCCCTCAAAACCCTATCTGTTTGAGGGCCCGGATTCTTAGGGTAGGGATCCAAGTACCTTCTCAGGTACGGTGATTGGAGGCACTGTTATGTAGGCGCCAGGAGGGTCCAGTCGTACCTTCTGAGGTTCGGTACGGCTGGATCCCTATAGGGACAGTATCTTCCAGGCTGTATATACCTTCTTTCTCCACTCCCTTTGGGACCCACCGAGCAGACCGAGCGCACCTTCTCCGATCGATCCGTCGTCGTCCGCGTCTTCCGGGGCACCAGTGACCGCCCACCAGCGCGTGCTGCTCGGGAGAGTCGCTGCTCCAGTCGTAGGGATTCAAGATGTAACTGTTTGCATCCACATACTGCACGCCTACAAACGGCGGGGGAGTTCTGTTCTCCACATCCAACCCTATTATATGGATTCACTGCCACCCGTATATATATATATATATATATGGAGTCTGACTGGGCCCCTCCTGGCTGGCGCCTACATATCAATCGTCGCGGTTCGGTGCGGATCCAGCACAGGGGCCACGAAGGATCCAGCGCGGCGCGACGGCGTTCTTCGACCGGCGGAGCGGTGAGCGGCGTGTAAGGTCGGTGGTCGACCGGAGAACGGAGGATGTTCCCAGGCAGAACCATGTGTTGTTCTTGTGTTTGTTGTTTTTTTGCGACTGGATCCAATGAGTAAATGGCCTGGAGGTCAGTGAGTGAATGCCTCGAGATTGAGAAATCAACTCAGGAATCTCTGTCTGGTGAGAATGTTAGATAATATATGAAAGGATCTTGACTTCATCCCACATGCGACTAAAACCAGGCAGTTGTTCATCCCCTACATCCACCATCCCTAGTACTTCACTTATAAAGAAGTATGGTTGTATATTTGTTTGTTTCAACAGACTGTCTTGATAAACACCAGAGACTCCCCCAATGAGCATCCGCAGACACACGCCAGTGAGCATTCGCAAGGTCTCCATTCGCAAGGTACCCATATACAAACTAGCTTCTTGTTACTACTAGTAAGGCACTTGTTACTAGAAGCGATGCACTTGTTACGTTCGTAGCGAACATTCTAAATTACGATATGATATGTGATGGTTTGGTCTTCGGCTTTGCATCTTCACCATGGTTCATGAATGTGGTATATTTATGCGTTTCATCTTCATCTGCCGACAAAAAGGCCTTTGCATCTCCAAGGATGGACACAAATATCGGCCATATTCCTGTCGCATGAATATGCAGGAATCTGGGCTAGAAAGGAACCACCGCCGACATCTGACATCTCACCAGCATCGTTGCACCTACAAGGGGTTTGCTGGTGGAAAAATCTATTGACTCGCTCACCTGGAAGGGCTTCGTGGCCACAGATCCGGAAGCCGTACATCTTGTCCTCAGCATGGTGAGCGTCGGCAGCATGCAACCCTGTCCCAAAATGACAAAGAAAGGACTCGTAACCTCGTCCCAGAGATGCAAATAAGCAAACACAATGCCAAAGAGAAATCCTGGGCCCCTACAACGGCCAGACAAGTTGAGAGGCTTTGGGTGACAAGTGATCGATCTGGTGTTTGACCTCAACAAATTGATCGTGACTGGTGGGTTGTTCTTGAGTGCTCCGCTTTGAATCATTTTGAATCTATCACTGCGTTTCATGCCTGTCCATGTTCTAGTCTTTGAAAGGATAAAAAGCTCGTGGACCGACGACCGCACCTGCCGTGCTCCTTCTCAGGAAGGGATGGGGATCCCATTGCTCCGACCATCCCCCGCCGAGCGTCGATGACCATCCCCTGGACCATGGTCTTCACACAGTCATCCAAGCGAAGTCGAAGGATCACGCTCCTCATCGTCGCAGAATGATTTGGGCCCGAATGTGCTTGGCGCATGGTCTGCCGATGGTCTGCCCCTTTCACATCTTTCACCACGAGAAGAAGAAACATGGCAACGAATTGATGATATTTCAATCCCCCCACCTCCGGATAAATATCCGCTGATGATGTCAAGCTTTTCCATGCACCTGGAGACCAGGGCTTGGGCTGTCACCAACCTCGCTCGAGCTCGACCGGTGCCGGACGGGGAGCGCTCCTCAGTTCGCAGGTCACCGGGCTCAGCACGAAGCGAAAGAGCCGCCGAGACTGCGCCCCGTGGCCTAGGCGTAGGTCGCCTCAGCTTTAAGTGACGGAAAGAGAGGCGGCGCGCCGGAGGTCGGTCGGTGTTTCGACCGGGGGGGGCTGTTTTATCGGGCGGTGGTTTTTGGGCGTTGGAAGGTCGGATTCGACCAGGGGTTGAGGGCTGTCAATGGCTGCAATGATCTTGTTTGAATGTCAAGAATTGTGAGATGTTCCACAACAGTTCTCTGGCCCAGTGCGTCACAGAAAAGGTGGGGTGTTGAGAGGTGAAACACGGATGAACCATGACTCTGCAGGAAGAACAGCCTCGTCTGTTTTTGGGGGAACATGAAGATGTTCAAAGGTGTGGATGATGGTCCTGTCTGTAAAAGAATTCTGTATAGATGATATTCTATGATATTCTGATGATTTCTGATTCTGGTTCAACTCAGTTTCTATACAGATTCTCTGTCCAAAGGATTCCAAAGGAACATGGATTCCATATGATTCCATGGGGCGCAAGCTCATGTTGGAACACTCACCACTTGAGATTTCAAGCAGTGTTGCAATTACCCATTGCCCAACTGGCTGATTTCCAGCTCTATGTCCATTTCCAGTATGTTAAAGCATGTCCGTCGTCAAGCATTGGGGAAATTTCCATGGAAAAGGCATTGGAGACCATTCTCCCTCAGATGGCTTCGTGACTCGGATGTGCTACCGAGCTATCGATGGGACACAGGGCGTCGCTGGGCGTCGGTCAACGACCAGAAGCACCTAAGAGTCGGGTGCCTTTGGAATGTGGAAGGCCCACCCGGGCGGCGCGCTGCGAAAAAAACACCATAGCCCACCCATTTTAAGTCCTTTGTAAGTGCTTACAAAGGACAACAGAATTGGAGCTGTGAACATGTGTTTTGGGGTAACGATGGAATGGTTTATATTCTTCAGAGTGGCCTAGTTTCATGAGCTTTGAATGCGCTTTGAAAGCACTTTGAAGGTTGGAAACAAACGGATGCGTTATGAGGCTGTTGATTGCCAGCCACCGGTCCAGTACTGAATCTCGCGCCCAGTGGCTAGCACAGGTGATGGTCAGACCATTGGCATAGACGTTGATCTCCTTCAAATTGACTGGAAGGAGGCATTTTTCAACACAAGCAGCTTTGGTCTCAAAACCGATTGCAGAAGAAGCGCCAAAGGCCCAGCCCAGTGAACCAAGTGCCTTAAATCAGTTTTGGGTTTAGTTTAACTAAAATGGTTTAGTTTAAGTCCTTTTTAGTGTCAACATGACAGTTTTAACACAAATCAGTTTAGTGATTTTGCTCAGGTTTAACATGGATCCCGAGTTGGATTGCGTGACTGTCCGCCGGATTTGCTGTTTTCTCGGTTCAAAACGTACAGGACAAACTCAGAAACGTGACAGTGCCTGGTACCCATGTTCAAGGGTATGCAAAGTCAAGTCGACTCCAAGTGCTGCACGACAAATGAATCGGTTCCTGAGAGGAATGCAGCTGCGTAAAATTGCAGTGCTGTACGGTACTCCCCCAAAAGAATACGGCTCTTGTCTTCCATATTGCTACTGAGAAGCGGAGAGCAACACTGACACCCCTCTTTAAACAATGCATGCCATGTTTGGTACTCACTGTTCATTCGACATGCTTTTCATGTCTAACCGTGTCACTGTTTGTTTCTGTCTTCGTCACTGCAAACTGCAAGTACTGAATATCACGGAACAAAGACATACCACGTTCGGGGAAAAAAAACAAACACCATGGCCATGAACAAAAAGTAAAACGAAAACAGCAACGATCTCGTTCATATATGAGGGACGGTCAAAACTCCTTATTCTTCTTCAGCAAAAAAATGGACGTCATCGGTTTTGAGTTGGACCTTATCGTTTTAGAATGTTTTGAGTTCGTCGCATACTTATGATCATATACAGCGCTGGGGTTATCGGTTTTGAGGTGGACCTTATCGTTTTGCAGGGTTTTGTGCACAAACCTGCCCCTCTTTACTAAAGTGGTCTTCGCATGTTTTGACCGTGGCTCATCTGAATTGAAGCGTTCGAACCAACCGAGCCCGGGGCGAGAAACCGCCGATCCCGAAGCGTTTCACTCGCGTTTCACCCGTCACGAACGGCGAAGGCGAGCGAGCCCGGTCCTCGTGACCCGAAAGACCGTAGGCGAGAAACTCGATGGACGTCTCCGCGCGGTAGCACAGACCCGTGGGCCTCACGACACGACCGCAGTTGCGGCGGAGCCACGGCCAGGGGGGCACCCAGGCAAGGCGGTCAGTCCACGGGGCGTGACAAAGCGAAGGTGGCCTGTCGAAACCACGTGGTGCGCCTGCGCACTAGCTAGCGCATGAGTGATCAGTCGTGCGAGAGACTGATCGAACAAACGTTGGAGAGACTGAGCCAAGATCGGCGTGTTCAGTGCTTGACCAAACATTGTTATAGACCCCCAAATAGATAGAAAAGCAGATAGATCCCCACTAAAGATGTATTGGAAACCATGCCACTATCTGTTTGGGGATCACTATAACTAGTTTGGGTGAGGCAGTAAAAAGAATGAACCCTTTGCAGGTGAGTAAGGTGAGTCTGTTTCGAACTGGCACCATGGCACAAAGAATCGATAGTCATTTGGGTCATCTCCCTCTTTCTAGCGTACACACGTTTGGGACTTCAGCTGAATTTCACCTGCGTGGCCCAACAAAAACACTGAACAGTGAGCAGCCTCAATTGAATCACTACCCAGACACTCCATGTATGCCATGCCTACATTGACCCCCCAAAACACCCCAATGTAGGCATATACGGCAGTCCCATGGAGTGTCTGGGTTCTACACTCCAGGACCATCCAATCTGGGTGATCTCCAGCCACTACCCAGCCCACTACTCGGTGATCTCCAGTCATGACACCCGGATAGAAGAACGTGCGGGCGGTTGACGAACGGCGGGCATTTGTCGATAAAGGTCCCATAATCTATAGCCCATCGCCTGAATTCGGTCTTATATAAACATTGAATGGACACTTTTTTAGGCAGCGGCAGGATCAAGAACAAATAGAACTCGTTTCCATGTCCAGTTTGCACTTGCCTAGGTTCAATTTGTGTCCATTTTCTTCTTCTCCTTCTTCTTCTTCTTCCTCTTCTTCTTCTTCTTCTTCTTTGCTCTTGCCTAGGCTTGTGGACTCCCCCCAGTCCAACATCCCACATCCGGACGAGAGGCAAGGCATGCAGCGTGCCATGATGAGCTGCTTGGAGCGACAAAGAGCGCTGGAAGGCTTCCTGGACCGTCTCTCCGGGGGGAGCCGGGGACCGGACGGGACCACGGACGGGTCCGCGGCCGGAAGATGGACATCCCTCGGCCTCCAAGTAGCTGAGAAGGTGGGACTGGGGTGCTAGAAGGGTCGAAACACCTTGGTTTGGAGGTACGACTGGAGGTGTAGGGCATTGACCCTATAAAAACAGGTGGTTTTTGAAGGGCGGATGCATTGGGAGGGTGCCTTCCCACCTATGTATAACGGCACGACATCTCTGTGGAGGTCCCCCAGTGTGCAGCTACTGGTGCTAACATTTATACCAGGACCCCAAGTCGGGGTGGTAGACATGGACACCCCGAATCACCTCTTTTCGGGGCTATCAATAGAAACCCCTTAGGGGGCCCAGGTATGTTTGGTGGATTTTGGTGGATCATCTCGTTGAACGAGGTCGACAGGCCTGTTGAAAAAGGTACCAGAAAACGGTCGACGTCTGCTTGAAACCCGAAAGGCTGGAATTGCATGAGAATTGATGCGACCCCGCCAGATCTAAACCCTAGATCTAGTATGCAGATTAGGTCAATCGATATGATTCACTCAGTGGCTGTACCCTAGCAAAGGATCAAGATCGGAATCGGCCAATCCCTTCTAGACATTCAGCAAACGGATGGTAGGTCATAGACAAAGTTGATGACCACCCCATCCACCAAGTTACATAGATCTACAGGAGAAGCATGCCCCATCAAAATGAGGCGCTTCTTTATCTCATCCACACCATCTTGGGAAGGCTCCATACTCTTGGAAAGGCACCTGCTCCACATGGCTTTTTGAGGTGCGCCTGCGATCCATCCCTAGACAAGTCGCCTGCGAATCTGGGAGGAACCATTGCAAAAACAAGTCCATGCAACCAAGGCACCATGTCCTCCATGTTCTCAGTCACTTCCTCCGCAGCCTCCACCTTCAAGCTGGTCAACAAGTCGTGACCACGCAGTCGTAGTCCAACGCCTGCACCATCAACCAAGGCAACTGCAAGAGACAACGTGCAAGAGAAAGACAAAGTGACTCGATGAAAAACCGAGTCGAGTAACTGGATTGTCAGAGTCGAGTCACTGCACCACAACATCTGCAGTGCTTCTCCCGTAAATAGATTACTGGTTGTTGGTTTCAGCTCACTTGAAAAATATGAATATGAGCCAGTGGGTTCAATTCGCAATCATCCCAAGTAACGGTGGACAAAAAATATATCATGTCCGAAGCCAACACCCAGATTATATATGATTGTGATTGTTTATAATGGAATACCCATGTCCAAACAGGACACCCAAATATTGGATGGTCCAGGTATATGCCGTTCTATGCCTAACTCGAACATCAGCATGTAGGCAGGTTCCCTGCATCCAGTCGTCCACACTTGAACCAGTGTTCTCTGTTCACCGACCAGGGCCTTGGGGCCAGGCCGAGCTCGAGAGCTCGAGCGGAAGCCGCAAGAAGCGTGCGAACAGGTTTGGAGGGTTTTTTCAGGGTTTTTCCATGTGATGAGATGTGATGAGTGAGTGGAACATGTGGGAAAGTAGGGCCCGCAATGCATGTATAGCTTTTGGGGTGGTTTGAAGAAGGGGGAACTTTGGACACTAGGGTGCCGCTATGGCTTGGTGCAGCCCACTTCACCGCCACAGCTAGGAGATCGCCAGCTCGCAGACTTGGAAATCCATCAGGGCCGTCAGTCTTTGCAAATCCCAAAGCCTTCAGTTTCATGCTCAAGCCACCTACACAAAATGGACTTGCACCCTGGTTCCGAGACCCATGCCTGATGATGCCTGATGCCATAGACCATCATAGACCAGACTGGAAAACGTTCGCGGAACCTCCACAGGTGTTCAGGTTCCATGTGAGTGTCGGGTCCGCAGGGTGCAACCCCCAAATCATCCCAAATCACTGGATGTTTAGACCGTGCCCCCAATGCTTTCATGCCACCCAAAAGCTCTGCCGGACCGGACCTAAAAGCTACTCCTCCTGGCCGGTTCCCCTGGCCGCTCTGGCACCGGCCAGGCGCAATTCCCCCCGTACCGCAGCGCTCCGCAGAACTGGGCGCCTCCACCTGCAAGGAGATCCTCGAGGTGTGCACAGCCACGGTGGAGCCGCGCGACGGAGAGCACCCGGGGCGAGCGGCAAGCGGACGGGGGACGTCTCTCCGCGCGGGGGAGGCGACAGTTGAGGTGACCGGTCAGCAGATCCCAGTGGCGGGTCGGTGGGAACCGCGTGGCTGGCTGAGAGGAGGTCTAAGTCGTGAAGTTCGGTGTGTCCCAGGGTCCTGAAGTTCGGTGTGGAGTGCTCTGTATGTCTGGTGGATTAAGAGGACGGCACAAGTGACTCCAAGTTGGGTGGTTGATATGAACCTCCATGTTTTCAGGACATCTTGAGGTCTGTGCCATCGAGCCTCTGAAACGACTGTATTTGCGTTTTAAAAGCACATGTCATGTAGAGCCCCATGATGAGCCCCCCAAAGCTCTCCAACTATCACGGGGCACCCCCAAGTCATCGCACAGCAAACCGATCCACAGTGGGGCTGGGAGAAATTCAGGTGCAAAGTAAATCTTCCCGGATTGGCCTTGAGAATCTCCTTGAGGTCCACCTGCCTTGGGCCCCCTTAAACCAAGCTTGCATGATAGGAATTTCCCTTCCGGATCGGCGGCAGAGCCCCCGGCACACGCCTGTCTTTTTCCGCTACCGTCTTTTTGGTGGAGAGACCAATGGAATTTATGTGCGTGAAGTGTCTTGGAAGGGCAAAAAAAGAACCTCCCCTAAGAATCATTGGACCCTCCGAACTGGAGGGTCCAATGACCCTGCAGGTTCCGCAGGGGTTTGGACCCGAACCAAACCTTCGAGCTTCACTGAGGGTCCTTCTTAGGGTCCCACGAACCGACTCCGTCCAAGCCACGAAGATGCGGAGCTGGAGAACTCTGGGCCTGGGCTGGGCGGGCTGCAACCACCGGCGCGGCTCCGTGGAGCCGGGACGGTGGGGTGTGTTCTCCTGCTCCGAAAATAGAGAATGGCATTTAAGAGTCTCACCTCGGACCACAACCCCAAAACCCCAAAACCTGGTTCTTGGGAAACTGGTCCAAAACCCAGCGGTTTCTTTTCCAAACTGGTCCAAAAAAAGGGTCCCAAAACCGGTCAATTTTTTTGGTTCCCATGTGACTTTGTGAGGTCGTCTGTAGAAGTGATCTGCGATGATACGCTGGACCGTCTTTGTCGTGTCGTCATAACGTGGAGCGTCGCGACGAGGAACTGCTTCATGACACCGAAACTGGCAGTGGATTTGCCTATGGGATTCGGCCCGTCATTGACCTGGTTACCATCTTGTACCCTGTGTTTGGCACCCGGTTCTCAAACCATTTTTTGGCTGCTTGCAACAGCGAGGGATCCCAAGACTTGTGACAGAGGACTTTTCGAAGACAGAACGAAAGCTCTTCCCAGCCACCACGGGCATTTTCAACAAAGAAAGACTAAGAACCTGCCGGACTCGAATCTGGATCTAAGAACCTTCACATTTTGTGCCCCAGCACGCAGCTGCTGCCAGGTGGCAGTCGATACAGTAAAGCTTGTTGGTCTTAGAGGGATAAATTCTCCCCAGGAGCTCGCTGCGCTCGCCTCCTCCTGAGAAGAAGAGCTCTCAGAAACATGACCCTAACAAACATCGAAGTACACAACCCCCTTCCTGGTAGATTGAAAACGGTCAATCCAGTTCAACGAGTTTAACCATGCAGTGAATGCTGCTAGAATCCACTTCATAAACTCAACATTCACCGCTGAAAAGCAAGGAAAGGACATGATCATCTTGCAGGGGGTTATTTTCAGTCTTCATCTGGCTATTCAGGTGCAAAAAAGAGAGTCATGACAAAAGAGCTGCTCCTAGATAGCTATCTAGCTGCTATAATTATAAACGGGAGTTGCATTAAAAAAAACAAATAAAACATCATCACACAGAGCTCGAACCACCCCAACTGCGGGGTGCAGCCTCTCTGAGGCCGTGGTGGTCAAAAGTCAGTACTGTGCTTCCACCTAGTAGCGTCCGATCGGTCCTAGTAGCGTGAGGAGCCCCGAACGTAGCGATGCCCTGAGCTCCTAGTAGCTTCTTGTAGTATTAGCACCCTCCAACAGGTCTCCTCTGGAGGGTCCTAGTACTAGCTGTTTTGTGTGTTTGGAGTTTCGAGGGAATAACCCTCGTCGTTGAGTCCCTTGGTCTGTCTTCAAAAGAATGCTCCGTAAATCACCGCCCTCACAAGTGTATTGGCTTCTGTTTCCATCTGCTTCGGGATCTTATCTTGAAAATATGCGGATATGATAATACTGTATGATATCAGATATCTCTCAAAATTCCTCAAATGCTAAGCTAGGACTAAGACCTTCTCTGTAGCTTTGCAGGCAGCAGTAGGGTGTATCAAACGTGTTCAAAAACAGTTGCGATTCACGATCATCCATGTTGATTCAAAGAAGGCAAGGGGCAAGGCCTTGGTCCTATTTTTCCCCAATTTCAGCGTTCATGTCCTGCTAGGTTCATTCAGCCTCACTCGCCAAAGTGAGGAGAAGGCTTACCCACTGACACGCAGGCCCTTGGCCCTCGCTTCTCACCATCCACCATCCACCCACCTCACACACCCTTGAGGCAGTCCGAACCCGCACCGTTGCGATGCGGACAGAGTCCGACGCCTCACCAGACGCCACGGCGTTTTCGGCGTCTCGCACGAGCGGGGCCGAGGCGCCAGCGGAGAAGCTACAGGTCACTTCCGGGAAGTCGGTGGCAGCCATGATCTCCAGCTTTCCACCCAGACGACTCTCACCGGCGCCCTCGGCAGACGAACCGGTCGCAGCTCGCAAATGCGTAGGGCGTGAAGGTAGGGGATGGTAGGGGGCTTGTGGTGACCCAGGATGATTTGTGACCTGGACTGGACCCATCTTCAAGCTCTCTAATGAATGACTGTTGATTTATACATCCCCCAGAATATCATGCTTTCTACTAGGTCCTATAGGTGTTATATAAATCAACTAGTCTACATATGTCTACATGATGCTGTTGTGTCTTCTCTTCAACACCAACACGTCATGGTCCCCCGGTCCCCACGTCATGGCGCCTCGCACTCCACCAGCGATTCCTTAGCTTCGGTCCTGGTCGGTCGCGGCATGCGGTGAGCAAGGGCCCCTTGGTTCCGCATGCTCAGTTGCTTTTGGTCGGTTGGTTTTGGGTGATTGGTTGGTTGATGACCAGCATATCCAAGCATATCCAAGCTAGACTTTGAGAAATGATGTCCATCTTTGGCTGATCGAGGAGTTCCAGGACTTTCTAACCTTAAAACCCAGTTCTCAATCAACTTCATCGTTTTTGCCCCGGCGTTCGACTCGTCTTCCAGTGGATTCACTTCGCTTCGTCTTTGCGCAAGTCCTGAGTTGAATGGTGGATGTGACATGAATTGAAATGACCCAATGAGTCTGGTGCCATTGATCCTTAAGGGATGAGCTTGCACCAAGAGGATCCAAGACCTGGACCATCCTGTCTGGGTGTTCAATGGAGACCCAGAAGAACTAGGCTACTCCAGCCAGGACCCAAGGCTGGTCCTGGTGCGTGCGGATGGCCCAATTTGCTGCCTCTACCAACCGCAGCGTGCACTTGCGTGCTGCACCGCCTCGAACCTCTTCCCAAGCAGTTGCGGGGGGCACCAGGACCCCCCGGGTTTGCTGGAACACCGACTTTCAAGGTATATTGAAGAATACCCCGAGGTGTTTTTCGGTGATTTCGAGCACCACCCGGGGGCCCCAAAATATTCGAGGTGTTCCTTTGCACGTGGTAAATGCTCAAAAGGAATGTGTGCCAGGGTAGCCATGGCGCCAGGAGTTCTGCAACAAGCTGACTTTTGCTTCTGACTTTGGTCTAACTTTGGGATCTGAGATCGTTTTTGTTCACCTCGTCTTCCAACTTCCGGTCTCCTTTTTGTTCCACCTCCATGAGTCGGAGTTGTTGAGGTTTCGTGTGAATTCGTGTCGTTTCTGGAAAAAAAAAAGTCAATTTGTCTGCACCAACCGTAACCACCTTCCTCGAAGGTCGGGGAAGGGCACCTCAACACCCCCCCCCCACGCGCACCTCGAAGGCTCTTTGGCGGAGGGTGGCCATGGAACCTGCGTAAGTCGGCACCCCGGAGACCACAGACCGCTAGAGCCGAGACGGGCGGCCGTAGCGGCCAATGGCTGCCTTTTGGGGGGTCAGAGGAACCTGGAAAAAAAACGAGTATGATGAAACCGTTTCTCTTCAGACATCAGGTGCAACAAGTGGGCTTTTTGGTTGCGAAGATGTCTCAAGCTGCTCCGCTTTTCACTTCCAAGGTCTAATCCTCTCGCTTCCACCTCGCCCAACCTCACCTCCGAACCGGTCACCAGTCCCCGTACGACGCCCATCATGGAGAGGAAGGAAGCGAGGGAATCCGCATGTTCAGTGTCCCAGAGATTTTTCATATTCGTGGATGGATCAGAATGATTACTGAATGGAATTCCAACCCATAACACCCGTAACACCCGGAGATGAGCAGCTACCAAGGTATGGGGTAAGGAATGTGGGATATCCTCAGTGAGCATCCACTACGGCACCCAAATGAATGTGAGGTGCCTCATCTTTCTTGGTATGCTTGCACAAACCTGCCTGTACATCTTGCGTGCATGTTCATGTACTGTATGTTCAGAAAAAGTAAAAGAAAATAGGACACCCTTTAGTTAAGTCTCACTGCAGCCTTTACCCATTTTCACACGCAGCTTTCCGCATCGCTAGCCCTTCGAGAAACGCACCATCCGGCCCGACAGCGTTGGATTCCCTTCCAGTCTTCACTGGGAAGGGACCAGTCCCTGCCCGCTGATAGGCTCCAGGATCGCCGACGGCACCGTGACAAGTTTCTGTGGGAATGATGGGGAGAGTTGCCATCATGTGGACATGCAATCATGTCAACACACGATGTCGGTTCCTCCCCATTGGACATCGGCACCGCCCAGGCAGACACATGGAGCCAAGTACGTCCGTATGTCAGCTGGAGGTACACCTGAAAAACACAAGCTGCGGTTAAGTAAGAGATAACCATTCTGCACTCCAAGTCATACGTGGAATGCATCTTGGCGAGAATCTGAAATGAATCAAAGACCTGACGACGCAGGAGCCGCTTCCATGCAAAGCCACTCCCATGCCGATTATTTCAGGTGATGCATGCAGTCGAACATGCTGCTGCCATTGGGACAGACACACAAGACGCATCTGGTCACCCCAATTTGGAGCAGGTCATGAATTGCAAAGGCAGGAAGACCATGACCTTCAGAGAACCCAAGTATGTCCTCAAAAAGGTGGAGAGAGGCACCAAGCACGAGTACAAGAGTACCATGCACGGAAGGCCATGTGCTCACTCCCGAGCATAGCAACAAGGCCTCATTACGTAGATTCATCTACTCTTCACTAACTTCACTAATTATCAGTCCGGCATCAGAAGACACACTGCTCTCGCCCATCACGCAGATGATAGATCATCCAGGTCAAGGGAGAGATGATGATTGCAAAGAGGGCATCTCCTCAGCGGTGCACTCTGCTTCCAAAACAACAGAAAAAGCACACGGACCAATTTCCCTCAAGGCCGCGTCATCGAAAATAGCTCCTTTGTCCAGCATGGAAACATACAACTTCCAGATGAAGGGTTGAACTGGTTTGTCAACAAACAGCTGGTTCCCCTGAAGCGTGAAGCTTATAGAACATAGTGAACATCTCAAAAAGAGTTCCTTGTTGTTCAACATGCAGATTCAAGATATTCAAGATCTAAGACGCCCATGTCGCTGGCAAAGATCGATGTCTGACACTAATCCGACCCCAAACTGGCACCACCCAGACGCGGGGGCAGGGAATGTCAGTGTCCCCCTGGTCGCTCTTGCGGTTTAACCATCTTGTATAACCCAGACACTCCATGGGACTGCCGTATTTGCCGATCAGGCCACGGGTGGTTGAAAGGGGGTCAATGTCGGCATATCTGGCAGTCCCATTAGTCGTGTCTGGGGTATCATTACACGCAATCAAACCAACTAAGAAGACTCAGATCTCAGAGCCATGGCGGTCCCTGCAACAGTTGGTTGAGATGGTGCTTGAGACTTGGCGCTGGTCTCTGGAGCACAGAACTTGGACCCAAGTCGTCCCTATACATCCTATATCATCCTATACTGTATACTTCACGATCCTGTCGGGCTCTTTTGGGGAGCAAAAAATAACACCTAAAACCGCTTCCAACTCAGAGCTATGTCTCTGTCTCCTCACCAGCCACTTGGTCGCACATGTGCGATGAAAGCGGTGCTTGCACGGCAACCGGACCTGAGACTGGGCGAAGAATCAGAACAAACGACCGGGACCTCAACCGGACCAGGGTGAAAAACGGGTGGCTTTCCGAACATCCACGATCCTGACCGGACCCAAAGCCAGTCCGGTCCCATAGGTTGGAAACCCCAACATCACTGCGAATCGGCGGCTTCGGGGGAAACACCGGGACCACTGCCGTCGTTTCTGCTATTCTGACACCAAGGGACCACTGCTGAGTTGGCATCCATGTCATCGTGGCAAATGCAGCACGTCTCATCGCAGCTTTTCGGATGCACGTCTTCGATGACACGATCGATGGCGTCAGCGACCTTCCTGGAAAATGGCTGATGTTAACAGTTAACAGTCCACTGTGAGTAAGCATCGGGTCGATTGGGCTGGAAAAGAATTATATTTGGCAGTCAAAAAGGTAACACTGAAAATCATGAGTTCCATTCAGGGTTCCATTCAGGGATCCTTTTGGGTTTTAACAACCCCCCCTGCTTTTAACTAAACCCTTCACCACCCAACAGAAAGCTGCTGGGTGATGGGAGTCACTGAAAACGTGCCCAGCTTCTGTTGCTGCATGGACTTCTGGAGAGCCCATTGCTGCTCTTCCGTGAGCTCCTGAAACCCGGCTCCGCCCGCGACTCGGCCCGGGAGGACTCGCGTCCTGATGGTGGGCTGGGGCGAAACCAGCGCTAGGCTCCGGAGACCCCCGAGCTCGTGAAGGTGCTGGTAGACTGAAACCACCTCTTTTTGGTTGGGGTCTCCGAATTTCGCGCCATGGTTCCTGTTCTTTCGGTTGTGTCCTCGTTGTGTCCGGTATGACTTTGACAAAGTCATCACAAATCACAACATGAGTGGAACATGGTAGAACAACAAGGACCATGAGAAATCTGAGCATGCTTGAACATCCGCCAATCATCAATCATCATCAATCTCGGTCAGCCTACCTATAATGGCTACAACCAAAAAAGGTGCGTTGAGTTCACCTGGTTCACCTGGTTCATATCCTCCTCATCCCTCTTCAGGAGCGACAGTCCTTGTTGATGAGCAGCTCGAGTTGATTCGCAGAGCGAAACTGTTGTGTCATGCTTCGCACATCTTTGAAGCCATTCACCTCTACGATGCTGTACCCAGCCTGAAGAGGCTCATGCTCTCGATTCCACTGCCGGATGCAGTCCTGCGAAAGCTCGCATCGCTCGCATACAAAACGATCCACCAGGCAAATCGGAACTCTCCACGGGCAACTTTACTGGCATTGAGTGCAGCAAAACATCCAAATTGGTCATCCAGCGTTCTTCAAAACTAACTCTTGGAGATCATGTCTATGACCAAATTAATTACTCAAGGAGCACCGGATCAGCCATTCGAACACGATGATCAGCGTGATCCTTTTGTGATTTCTTTTTCCGAACAACCAGCTTCTTCAGTTCGTGACCTTTTTGGAGTCTCTAAGTGACCTTTTACAGGCCTAAGTGACCTCAAGCCCAGGGATGCAAAGGTCACTTTGAAGAACCAGGAAGTTCCACTTTTCATTCCAAAATAACTGAAGACCATCATGGAAAGCCAAGAATCTCTTCAGACCGTGACCGTCCCGACATACCAAGTGACCCTCCATCTCACCTCCTCTTGCCATTGCAGAGTCCGAACCAAGACTGGGATTTGCTTATGAAGGAACCCGGAAGAATCTCGATGCCATGAGAAGAATGATCCATGGTCGAGCAAATGAACCATCACCACCCGCCTTATATGCCTAATATATGCAAAACTCAACCCATCCAAAACCCCGGCGGGGTCCGTGTCTTCCACCTCCAGGATGGACAAGCCACTCACGCGTGGGTGCACCACCACCGCCACGCCCCATTTTTCATGTTCTCCCTGCCGCACCAGCGAACAGCGAAAGCTGCGAGTCGTTGGCGTTCCGGGCGGGGTGACGGTGGCCTGCCAAAACCGCGGGGTGGACATGGGTGGACCACATGGTCCAGTCGAAGAGGCAGAGGAGCCTTTCAACATCACAAGACCACCAGACCCTGAAAACATCGAGTCGAACCAAGCACAGTCGTTGCGAGCACAAGTTGTTGCATGGACATGCGTAGACATGGTGGTTTCTTTGAGAGGTACATCATGCCACCCAGAGTTTTTCAAAGTCAAGACGAAGTGCTAGAAGTGCTAGACCAAAGCCATCCGGTCCTTTCATCCTCTTCTTAATTGATTCTCGCCCACGACTGGCCGCACCGGGATGAACTCGCGTGGCGAACGCGAACGCGCACCGTACGCGGGTGGTGTCCTGGACCGGTTTGTGGCTGCTGTTCTAGCTAGACTGGCGAGTTTGTTTGGATGCAGACCAGATCCCCATCCCATCCCGCTCTGTGTGCACAGATGATCCAGATTCTGTGGGCACAGATGATCCAGA